CTTCTTTTAAGCTTCCTTCAGGAGTTTGCCAAACAACAAAAAATTAGAGCAGAAAGAGAAAATGAAGCTACGTGCACTGGGTACGTCAGCCCCAGAAAGATTGCGAAACCCCAGGTGCAACTTCCTGCGTGTTGGAAGACTTTTGAAACATTTCAGGACAAAAAAGCACATGCAAAAATATAAGCCTACCTGTTATTTATCTTGGACTTGGTGCTAGAATAACTTGCCAGTAGCAAATTCTACACACTGAAACCACAGTTCTTACTACACACTCGCGTGTTTCCCATCATACACACTCACACACACATAGACACACACACGTTGCATAGAAAAACATTCAAAAAGCCAGCATCAACATTATAAAAAATATCCCCCAAAGCAAGCTATCACCTCCCCTATGAGTAGGAACACTGGGCTCTTATGCTCAGCATCCAGTCTCAGCCAAGCCTCCCTTGTCTGCAGAATGACACCCCTAGTCATTTTACACAAACTTCAAATGCACCTTTAAAACAAATTTTGTAAGTCCCCCCCCAAGGGCTCAGATACAGCTCCCTCTACATTTCTTTTTCTGCCGTTGCCTTTGATTTTCCACAGTACGGTTCACTGCCCTTTTTTGCTTTTCCGCGTCTCAGCATCCGTTCACCATGCATCTATGAAGGTAAGCTAACAAAGCACCACAGCATGTGTGTGTACTATTGCATGCAGAATGTCTGGGTTCCCATGTTACCAGGCTGAACCAAGTCTTGCCATCATTAGTAGTAAAACTCAAGCTTTCTTACATGTGTTTTTATCAGTTGCAGCAATCACATCCCATTTCTGCAACTACAAACAACAGTTTGAGTAGTCCTAGCTACTCACTGTGCTTGTAAAACAAAGCACTTAACTACTCAAATGAACAGAGCCCATGTCACTTTTTGTAAGGAGAATATTGAGTTTTCTGATGTGGCTTTCAGAAATGTGAAATTCACCTTTAGACCCATGCAAAACCTGAATCATAAAACAAGTGGTGGCTGCCCCATTCCTGGCAGTGTTCAAAGGCAGGTTGTGCAGGGTTTGTGCAAGGTGTCCCTGCCCATAGCAGAGGGATTGGAACTGGAGGATCTGTAAGGTCTGTTCCAATCCAAACCATTCTGTGATTCTATGAATTTGTGAAGCATATGCAGAAAGAAGAGAAAGAAAATAAAGCAAAATAAACTCACATAATCATTTCCCAGGGATCACATTCTGAGAGGTTATTAGATTTATTTTCTGGGATTCCTTAGGCCTTTCCAGACCCACATCTGTACTATCTTACTGGCGCACTATCTTGTACTTCTGCACCATCTCTTTTAATTGGCTTTTTGGAACAACTCCACTGATATCTCTGGGTATAGCTGCATTCACCAGCTAACTATGAGCCATACTGGATGACATGCTGAGGATGTGCAAGGACAAAAGCAAAGAAGGGCTTGGAAAGGAGGAGAGCAAAGAAGTAGGAAGTGCAAAGAGATGAAGAAGTGTCGTAGCTCTGAGTAAAATCGTATTTATAGTAAGAAAAAATAAAAATACAAGTTAAAAAAAAGAAAAGAGCTTTTTCCCTGCAGAGATCCAGTTCCACAGGGGTAAAAGGCACAGTGTAGGTCATTGCATACAGGTTTCAGCAATTTTCTTGGCTGAAAAGGTTTTGCAAGATCTGTAGAAAAAGAGAATAAAAGGTGATAAGTTAATACAGAGTGGCCAAAACAGAACACAATTATAAAATATCATAAGAATGAGAGAAAGACTGTACATAATGGCAGTGTCCTGGAAGCCTAGAATTAAGGTTCACAATCATATTCCAGCATACCTCTTCTGCATGTCTCAGGTGGGTGTAAGGCAGGTCACTTCCACAGACAAAACCTTCAGCTTGTTGATTTCCTTGTACAGCTTCTTGTTTCAGACACAGCTCAAAAAGGCTCCTGAACTTTGCGAATCCATTCAAGAAGTCCCATAGTACCATTGACTAGATCATGATATACAATACGAGGGGGGGGGAAAGGTGATTTTTTGGCTTAATTTTCCCCCTCAGATGTCAGCACCTAGCTCAAGTATGAGCTGGAGCCTCCATGGTCAGAAATCTGTGTATCTTTTGTAGTCAATGACAGCAGAGGGACACTTCCACAGGGTGAGTCACTGTGCCCAAGTTACACACTGTGGATTAAAGGAATGGTTTGAATAGTACACCATATACCAATAGCCAGACATTCCTCCCTAGAAGTCTATTCCTCAGTGTAAACTTCAGAACAAAAAAATCCAGGGTTGTTAAACTGGGCACAACCTAGAACAGAAAAATCAGTCTTACCTAGGTGCTGAAATACTTTTGCAATGCCATTATGGGTCTACTAAATCAGATGGTGGAGCTCTCCTCCTTCCAGTGCACCCAGGGTCTCTCACTTGTACCATAAATCACTTTTCCAACACTTCAGTGGTCTTTCTCCCTCAACAGATGGGGAAACCCACCTAATTCACTCACTCGCAAATGAAGCCTGGCCCCAAATTCCCAGCCCTTCCTCTTCTACTGAGACAGAGCCCTCTCTTGCCTGGGAAGCAGTTTCCAACCTCCAGCTTCCAGCCCCCCTCACCTTCCCAGCTGCTGTGGCTCTCAGCCTAGCTCCCTGGCAGGTTTCACAAGGCTGTGGTGTGTGCAGGCAGATGGAGGCCTGCAAAGTCAGCCCCACTGCGAAGCTTAGAGCTCAAGGGATGGACAGACCAGACAGAAAAGCCGCAAGGGTTTTGTGCTCCATTGTGCAAAAGCGTTATCTTCACTTTTACCTTTATGTGAGGTCCTAATTCCAATAGCAAAAAAGATCCCACAGCTCCTGACTGGCAGCTTGAGCTAAGGCTGGTGAAGAGCCTGGGAAGATGATCTGAATAGCAAACCAAACCAAAGTGCATGTTGCCTTGTGTTTAGTGGTAACAGGCTGAGTTACATCATGGTCACTAACCCACAGTTGTCTCCACTGCAGCCTTACCCTGCATCAGTGACAAGCAGGTACAGCTGCAGTGGCAGCAGAAACACCAGTGACACATGCAGTTACAGCTGTTACAAGAAGGGTGGAAGCGTTCCTATGAAATACTCTTGCAGGGTGGTGAGTGGCCTGGATGCCACTGCAGACAACCGAGTCTCTGAGGCAGAGGTTTCCTTTGCTTACGTAGCACCCATAGAAGCGGAATGGTTTCTCCAGTACTAAATGTGCCAGGATATATGTTAAACTTTTTTTTGTCAAAGCAGCAGTACTGCTTCATTTTTGTGTTTAATTAGCTGCAATTAACCACGTAAAGTTAAACTGGACATGTGTTTTTTTAAGCCACTCAGGCTGGGTAGTGCAGTTTCCTGGCATGCATCCTGTTCCAGCAGTAAGGTTCAACTTGTCTGCAACAAAAAGGACACGAATGATTAAATGGAGTAGGGAAGTAGTAATTGTTCTCATTACTTGCAGCAGCCATTAAAAGTAATTACAATTTGGCAACGGTGGTTTTCAGATATAAACAGTTGGTGTGTCAAATGCTCATTGGGAGTGAAAATTAACAAAAATGAAACACCTGTTCATACATCAGTGCTGCTGCAGTTTAGCAGCATACAGCATTCCTGAAGCTGTTAAATACATGCGTTATGCCAACAAAAATTTGGCCACATGTTTACTTAAGGCCTGAATAAATATGGCCAATCTCTGACAAAAACTGAAGTAAAGTCTTACCTGGGGCTAATAAGACTGACAACAAGAAGAGCCATTTAGGGGAAATCAAAACATGACAAGCAGTGTAAGGTAAATAGCTCTCATTGATGCAAAATGGAATTTATAAAGAAAAATCCTGTGTTCTGGCTGGCAGAATGTACTGACTTATTCATATCATTTCCAGTCCTGTGAATGGAGGTGCTCCCACGGATGGCTGGGACACAAAAGGCCTTTTAAGTCAATGAGTTGAGCTAACGCCAGACTTTGGTGGCCAGTGTTCCCACAGGCTGTAACCTGCTAAGGCCAAACCTGCAACCTGACTCAAGTCTGTCTGGTACTGAGGTCTGAAGGAGAGTATTCTGAGTAACACAAAAACATGTGCAGGAGTTTTGCAGTTCAAGTCCTTTCACTGTACTTTTCTCTTTGCAGTTCAAGTCCTTTCACTGTATTTTTCTTTTCTGGTTAAACTTCCCATAACCATAAAATAAAAGGTTGCATTTGTATTTCTTCTGACCATGAAAAGTAGAGGCAAAATCATGAATTACCCCAAGACATGTCTGGGTTTTTGTTTGTGAGAAATTTACAAGACCTGTGAAAAAAAACTCACCCAGCAGTTGAAAGATAAAGGGAAGGATTGCTGGCTCTGTGGCACTTAGCTGAATACTCAGCACAGTATGTTTGCACAGGACAAACCCCACTGGGGTTTATGATGCAGGTGACTGAAGGCAGATGTTGCTACTTAAAACCTTCACCCACCGTAGCCTCTTCTTCTTGTGCAGTGCATTGGAACCTGCCTGCTGGCTTGCACAGGTCACAAGCACACTTCCCAGAAGGACTGTCGAGTCTCCTTATGGAGCGTTGTGGTTTTCAGAACTCCACGTTTGTATGTTTTCTGTTCCACAAAGTGGGACAAACAGACTATTTCTCTAATCCAATTTAGGGAGCAACCACAGAGCTGGAAAAAGGCTGGAAAAAAATTCCTCCTGCTTCAAAGCAGAAATAACTTGTATATAAACTGCTTTAACCACGGGTTCAAAGCATATACAAAATGGTTCGGTGAGAGTAAAAATGAAAGGTAATCCTATTCTCCAAGACATAACATGGGTAATAGAATCAACAGAGAAGCCCCAGCATGTTGCAGTTTAGACATTGGATTCTGGTCCAAAATTGACAAATCTGGATCTCCCAAAATCTCCAGTACTAGAACACCCCAAATTCATGCTTCTCATCAAAATGACTGGATGCCCGTCCCTACACAGCTGACCAGCAGTACATAAGCATTCTATAAACAACCATATCAACCAATAACTTATAATATTTTTTTATTCATGTTAGAATTTCTATCAGTGTTTGAACATTAATATTTAGAGAGTTTGTACAATTTCCATTCAAAGTTTAAAATGAGAACCACGCTAGATCACAAACGGTAACTAAAACACAGTTCAGAATTGTATGATTATTCACACTCTCTCTCATAACACTGTTAAACACTTTTTTTTTTCTGCCAGGGGGGTTACAAGGAAAAGTGTGCACCATAATTGTATCTCAGCAGTGTTCCAAAACATAATGGTATCATCATTACATATAAACTCTTTAAAAATATACTTCTGTCCAAAGACTTGATGACTACTATGTACACTACAAAAATAAATTTTCATATAAATAAATTATATGGCATAATTTTATCTTTGTAACTGAAATGACACAAACCCACTCCTACCAACAGGCAGGCAATGAGACCCAGTTCGGATATTTTTTCCTTTTAACTCCTTACACAAAAAGCTACGACGAGTCTTTAATGTAAATGTTATATACTCTTTCCTATTTAACATTAGTAAGCACTCTATACAAATAAAAATCCACTGAACAGTAACAACATAACTGTAATAGTGTTTTCCAATAGAAATAAAATCCCTGCATCTTGTTTGTTATAAACTGGCATGACAAATACTGTAAGAAAACATTCTTATGATACAAAAATATAAATATCACCCATGATTAAAAAAAGTTACAAAATAAAACAAACGCTGCCAGCCACTGAGTTCTCCCCTTCCCAATGTGACTATGGAGAAGCAGCAGACAGCTCACCCACACACCAGCCCACAGGAGGACTTGGGCAGGGGCAGGCAGGAGACACCACGGTTCACCCTGCCCCCCTTCCCTCCTGAGGAAGAGGAGGAAGTGAGGCAGCCCCGGTGTGGTGGAGGTGTCAGTGGGAGCCCTGCAGGCGCTTGGCGGTTAAAGGCATCTTCCAATTAGCATCATACAGTTTTGTGGCAGAGTGTGTGCGATCTGAGGTCACTATGCTGCTAGTGCTAAATGGGGGCCCCTAGTCTTTTTGTCATTTAGAATTTCCAGGTTAGACAGTGAACTGGACCAGTAGGCAGTTGCGACATTAACCCTTAGTGTGCATTGAAACAGTAGCTTATGTATCACAGGAATGACACCAGGCTCTCGCCACCTGCTCTTCGACCGTTCACATTGGAGATCTGTAAACAAGTGCCTCATATCAAAGTGTTTTCAAGTGAGCAAAAAAAAGGCATGGAAATTTGTGCATTCTAATTATCCCCATTCGTTATGCTAGCAAGGTCTGTGGGCAAAGATAGACTCCCTGAAGCCACTGGAGAAAAATTTCCTACCAAAGAATTGGCCACCGCTGTTCAGGCATTGTACTCAAAAACCCCACCACTGCTGTGGTTAGGAACAGAATATTGGTTGTATTTGTTTGGCTCTGAATACGTAACTGAACATCTACCTGCTCTAAAAACAGCTTGGAGAAGGGCAGAAAAAAGATGAAGACAGAGGAAGTCAGAGATAATGAAAACTTCTATTAGTTTTTAAATTAAGGTTCTCCATTCGTAAGGTTTCCAGCTGGAACACAGAGTGTGGTGTTTTTTACAGACCCTTCACCTGCAGCTATCCCCTTTTAGTTTAAAAAAAATAATAATGCAGAAAGCTAAATTAGTTTCGCAAAGAGATCCCAGTTTAGCTGTTTTAATTAAAAGTGCCACTGCAGCATGGGAAAACACAAACTATAGAGAAAAGAACATCCCAGGCCTTTCGTGTCATTACAGTCCTGGGCTCATCCAGAAAGCCATTTATATTTATAAAGTAAAACTAGATTATTTTTTTTTTTTATCCTTCCATTTACTTTTTATCACTTACTATTAACTTCCTTCCTGCCATGAAAGTAAGGTGACCAATGGTACTGCTTCCAATGCTGGAAGGACACAGCTGAGCTGTTTCTCACCACCAAACAACTCAATTATCCAACTTTTAATGCCACGCATAGTTAATAGTATCGATATCAAAATAAGGCATATGCTCACTGAAATTCTATAACCAGCATTTCTCAATATCCAGCACCTTTGGAAGTGGAACAAGGATGGTTATAGTGTTTGCACTTACCTGGCACCTTTTGCAAAGAAAAATTAAAGGAAAAGAATCAAAATCAAAGCACTACAGGAACAGTAACTAAGCCTCACAACATTCCTGGGAGGTAGGTAAGTGTAATTACACCCATTTTACAGAATGAGAAACTGAGGCACAGGGCAGTTAAGTGACTTGACCAAAGCCATGTGAACCAAGTCATTAAGAGTGTGGGAAACTGAACCACAACCCCAACCTTGACTCCCTGTCTTCTTTTCTATTTAAGTTGGGCCTTTCATGATGGCAGTCTATGGTGCATGTTCATGAACATCAACACGGTTTTCACTAGTGCCTGCTAACAGGGAAAGCCATACTTATGTCAGCATCAGTGGGTTGATAAGCCCACTAAGTGTTGCCATACAGTAAAAGAGAAACTACAGTACACCAGGAACATACACACAAAAGCATGCAAGCTTCCAGATGCACACATGGATACACACAGCAAAACAGAACCTGCACATAGCTAAATCTATTTAAGCCTCCCAGATTAACTTGCTTTTCTTCGTATCTGCTTATTTTAACAATTATCACGCATAGCGTGTTTGAAAGTTAGCAGTAACACCTCATCCTACCACAGGGTTGTGATACACAAACTTAAAATACTTTAAAGAGACATGTACCTTAAAAAAAAACCTATCACATAAGCAATATTTGCATAGAGTTATACACGTAAAGTATAAAATATTTAAGCAGCAGCAACTTATGCTGGAATTTAGAACTAGATTAAGCTTAGTTGTGGCACAGAGATCAATGTACAAAAAGTACAAAGCGCGCACAATATTGTCCCCATTCTATTGCCCAGAGGCAAATGACTCCAGACTATACTACTTTACATTGTTCTTTTGTATATTACATATGTGTACATCTTTTAAATACTTAAAGAAATATTTAACAAAATAATACAATAGGTTACAGTAACAGTGAACTGTTGTCCTGATGCAGCATGTCCTTTTCTACAACTTCAAGCAGTTCTTCAATTCAAGCAGTTCTGGAAATAGAGTTTTCTATCTTTGGCCTCTTCTTTGCTTCAGTTATTACCTTTTACAAATAAAGAGAAAAGAAAAGCAAATATTCATTAAAGTTCAAGAAAAACAAACAAATCAAGCTAATCCGAAATTCATTTCACGATTCTTGTGGTTACAGTTAGCGGTCAGGAAACATGGGCTCTGCTTTCATATCAGTCATGAATTTCCCAGTAAAGAAATACTCGGGCTAATTAAAAAAAAATGCAGATGCTTTAATTTCTGAGTTCCCAGCTCCAGATACCTGCAACAAACTCAGTCAAAACCAATGAATGCTTCAAGGAGGAATATGCTATATTGAGTACGGTGCACACTTAAGAATCTCACATCACCATGCAGTTCAGCTTGAAAAAGCTGAGCCCAAGTATTTTCTTATTCTGTGGATACTGTTATTTGCCACATTTCTAGACTGCAAGGCTAAAGGTATTCATGTCTACTTGCACTTTGGGATGTTTGGAGAGACGTTACATAAATCAGAGGGTGATGTTTTGATTAAGTCATCAGAAACTTTCCATCAAAACTCCCCCCCCCCCGGGTGTGTGTGCATGCATACGTGAAAAATAGTTCAATAACCCAAATAAAATGGTTTGGTCTGGTCAAACTAGTGTCTGTCAATGAAAAGCTCTAAAAAACAAAGACAGAAAACAGGGGTCCAGAGCCAAGTAACTATTGTAAAACTTTCCCGTTATCCCAGAAGATAAAAACATGGTTAAATTGGTGAGAAATGGCTTTTAAGGCACAAGCCCCAGAAACCTGTCAGTGCAAATGCTCAGTTAGTTTCTCCCTTTCAAAGTATTCCCTATAAAATTGGTGGAAAATTTTCAAGAACATGAACAGCTTTATCCTTCCCCAAACATCTGCTAAAGTATCCCGTCTGTTTTAAACAGCGCTGTAATCTGCTGTTGCCAGCCTAAAGACAGGCTATGATTTACATATCACGTCTCAAAAGTTCATGGGGGTATCTGTTGTTTCACAGGAACGTCTTAAACACCATGATAGGTTGGCTCTGCCCTATGCAAATCTCCCACAGCCACTGCAGCTGACCCAAAGGAACCCAAGGAACTCCCTCAGGGTCTCTGAATGTCCCCCTGCACACAGCAGTGCACTAGGCATGGTGGGGCCTTCCCATCTCTCACTTAGCCCATCTCCCAGAGGGACTCAGTGCTCAGAACTCAAATTCTTTCACAGAGTTTTATTCAAGGGAAGGACAGCCCTCGAAGCAGCTGGCAATGTTACACTCTCCTAGGCAATGTCATTCTGTGTCATGTTTTAGAACGTGCTTGATTCAGGATGAGAAGACAGGACCTATAAACAGTAAAAGCAGTTGCACAGCTTTAGGTGTGCTTCTCATGATCTCTGCGTCATTCTGGTCACCCAGTAAACTGGGACCGCATGATGTACTTACCCACTTTGCAAGGCTCTTGGAAGCAGCTAATGTCTGAACCCACTACAACTGCTCAGTGTTGGCAAGTACTATCTTACCCAACCTGATTTCTAGTGTGAAATGTACTATATTCACAGTTAGCAGATTTAAGATGATCAGCGACCAGTAAGTAAGCCTACCTGAGGAACAGGTACCTCAAGAGAACTTTATCTTTCGCCTTTCTTTTGATCACACCATTGCCCAACACAAGCACAGCTTGTAGCTACAGGAGCCGTACTGTACCTACCTTACTGTGAGCTGTTGCTGGGTGTCCTTTCCTCACATTCAACATCTTGCAGTTCTATAACTTCTACTTTAGAATTTCTTCTTTCACACCGCACATTAAAAGGCACATGGGGGTCCTGAAATGGCCCATGATCAGCTTCATGGTACCCCTCGTAGGACGGAAAGCTCCCTCCCCGAGAGCTGTGGCTGTGCACCGCAGGGTGGACAGCAACAGTCACTGAAGCTGAGGCAGTCACAGTAGTGATAGGCTGGCAGTATGCTGGTCCTGCGGCACCCAGGGTGCTGAACGCTGGACTTCTTACGTTATGAGAACGAGTCTTGTGGCCCAAGCGATCCCTGTTGCTGGGTCCTGAATGCCCTTCAGTAGAGATTTCAAATGCGTCCCTGCGAGGGCGGTGAGGAGGTGGTCGCTGCCCTTCCTTTGGTTCCCGTTTGGCTTGTTTGCCCTGACGCCATGTCTGCTGTGTGCCAGGCTCTGGATTCGACTGCGATCTGGGGCTCAACTGATGCTGTGCCTCTGGCTGAACCATCTGAAAGAGCGATGCACTGTTACGCCTTTGGCAAAGCAAGGCTAACAAATACCACATTCACTTGTGTTTTACGCTGGGAACAATTGTAGTAATGCTGTCCTGGCTCTAACAATTACAATAAAGCTGACCTGGATCAAACTCTACAAAGGAAATGTTCTAGAGTCTGATAACTGTTGTTTTTCCAGATAGTTATTAATAACTTGTCTGAAGTTATTAAAACCTGGAAAGCATACCTTCAGAAAAAACACAGGATGACAGCTGAAAACATTAGTGTAAGCTTCCTACATACTAGTCCATCTTTTCAAAGGGATCAGTGACAAGCAGTTGATCTTAACTCATTCAACAAGAAGAATTGCAGGCATTTGGAAAAGGCTCTATTCCATGGAGGGTACACACACAGGATGTTAGTAGGGTAGTTTGTATAGACTGTAGGAATCTGTTTTCTGATTTCCATAAAAAGCGTGAAGCACAGCGGCCACATCAGTCAATAAACCGTGACCAACTTCAAATGTGGCTGTGCTTGTACCTATTTCTAGGCCTCTGCTGAACAAAAACAGATCCGCATTGCAGCTCAGCATGCAGTATCAGCAGGGGTAGGAGACAGAGCTTTTTCACTTTCCTTTGAAAATGCAATTATGGCAACCCAGCAGCAAGATGCAACAGGCTCAAGGTTTGGTACAACCCTGAAACTGTTTTCTTCTGGCTCTATCAATCTTTTTTTCCCCAAAATGTGTTGGCAGAGGAGAGATACATGAGATGGTGATCCACAAGGAGTTGTGTGCAAGAGGTCTGGATCTTTTAATCTCTCCTGTTCTCTCTTTGAAAATAGTAATCAAACAGATTGAGAGCTCTCTCTTGTGGCTGGTGCCAATATGATGTAACAGCAATTACACATGCCAAAGACCTCTGCTTTCATACCATCACTTTACTCCCAGCTTGATCATAAAGAAGGGGACCCTTCACTCCCTGCAACTTTTGGCACAAAGTCACAAAGCATAATCAGCAGAAATGTGAAAGAGCTTCCCACAAAAATAAATAGGTGTAAATAACCCCAAAACACAGTCCTTGCTCTACTACCAGTCAATATGCTTACACTGGATCTTGCAAAGACAGGATTCTCAGTGGCTTCCACTATTACTTGATGGACTGGTGCCCCAGGGCCTTGCATGGCCTCATACTGATGAAGCTCTTCACTGATGCCAGACACTGTGGTTTGAGAGCTGTACTCTGAATCAGAGGAATCTGACCCATTGTGTGTGTGCGCGGGTGGCAGTGCAAACCTCACGATGCTGGGGGCTGGCTCAGGAGATGGTGTAGGCAACCTGGTTTGTCCATTGGTTGGAGAAACCTGATAATGACAGCGCATTCAGTAACATTCAGTTAGTATTAGCCTTCTAATCACTAGTACTTGACACAAATGATCTTCTCCAAATTCACCCTGTCATGCCATGAGAACCCTAGCACCAGTTTTCTGATGGATGCTTATCTCGGTAACCCATTCTTCTGAGTATCATTGTCTCAGGAAGTTCATGTAACGTCTGCGCGTGCACGCACTTGCATTTACAAAAGTGGACTTCCCTCCCACTTCAGCATGCATTAACAGTGATTTCATAAAATCACCTAAAATGTGTATGTATACCATGTTTTACTAATACTAAACCAATAAATACTTCTAAAATACTACTAGTGCTGTACACACATCTTAAGTTTTATTCCTGTAAACACACATACACATATAGACGCAATGTGATAAAGACTGCCGTATGTAATGCAGTAATTGTAAAGTAGATATAGAACTACGTAGAGCAAGTAACAAACAGTCAACAACCAAATACAAATTTGGCATCTATGAATGATTTTTGGCTGGACTTGGGCTTTATAATGTAAAGTCATCAACATCTAAATGAAGGCTTCCACCCATGAAGAATGTTGCTTGAGCCAAAAGCATATCGCAAGAAGGGGCGACAGGATAGGAGGGACCTTCTGGCAGACCAGTCATGGCTATCAAGGTGTGGTCTGGAGACCACCACTGCTCTATGTTGGTCCACACATGCCTTCCTGGTGGTCTGCTCAGTTAAACATTTTGAGGAAAGCAGCAAAGGCAGTGAGGTAGGAAAGGTGGCGTGTGTACAAAAAGAACTGTCTTTTGCAAAATGCTGGGAAAAATCCCTATTTTAGAAACTAGTCTGCATATCACATTGTGCTTTTAAAAGCATAAATAATCCTACACTTGTGTCAAGTTTGTTGATTGCAGCCTCTAAAGCAATACTTATTTAAAAACATAGAGTATCAACTACATAACAAACAGCACTTTTGATAAAGATTATAAAAACTCCACAACAACTAGAGCAAGAAACTTGCAAACTAAAAACAAACAAACAAATAAACAAACAAAAAATCCAAGATAATTTAAAAATAAAGCGTTTCTAATGGGGGGGGGGGGCAGAGGGGAGTTTGATTAGGGAGGGCAGGGGTGCAAGTGTAACATCATTTCTTCTGTTCACCATTGATTTTACTGACCTCAGGGTATGGTCCAAAGAACGAAAGAAGAACAGGAAGCAGCACCAATCCATTAAGAACTCCCAGAATGGTTAAGATTGCCAAAACAGCAAAGAAATACCTGAAGTAGGGTTCAAGGGTTTTGGGGGGAAAGAATAGCCACAGATTTTGTTAGAAATAAGGGATTAAAAATTACTCCTACATATGTTAAAACAATACATATACTAAATTAAATATAAATGTTACTAACATTGCACGAAATAATTATATCACTTTCTAGAGAGAGAGAGAGATTGTTTTTACCTTTTGAATTAGAGAAGCTACATTCCACAACTGAAAGTGTTAGTTGATAAAGGAAAGAAAAAAATTACATTTGTTAATTTCCCAGAATCTGGAAGCATGTGATGTTATTTATGAATGTGTTACACAAACACAAAAATATGGAATGTGCAGGGAATAGCTGAATGGATTGAAAGCACAAATACAATGCAAAGGGGCCCCCATTAGTGAAAACCCAGCAGAAGCAAACAAATGAAGTGAAGGGTGTAGAATTCAAACAATTTAGCCTAGAAGGAAAAGAAGCCCTCTTCTCCCAGCAGCTAATCCACTGTGAAATGCTTCTGCATCTTACAGCAGAATCTCTAATTAAATCTCCAGTGTATCAGGTAAGGGTTTCCCTTGCTGTTCATTAATCACAACTTTCCGCCTAGAATTCTGTGAGTTCCAGTTTTATCAAATAGCTCAAATTGCAACCTTTTTACAACACAGGAACCCACTTTCTGCAAAGAAAATGCTACCCATTCTATAGTAAGCTTCAGCATTGTACTGAGTAGGAGCACTCCACAATGGCAGAGCTGCATTGCAGGCTAATCTTTTGTTGAACAATTTAGCATCTCTGAATACTCTTGTTTTGCGTCAGCCAATTCAAACATAAAGGCTGAAGTACTATGGAAGAAGAGGAAAGTGCACAAGTGGTTGTCCTTTCCCACCACTGAGGGCTAAGGTCTGGAATCCTTCATGAATACCAAGGTAAACCTGTCAGTAAAAGGAAAGCCTTGCTAGTTGGTATTCGGCACAGCTGGGGCTCAGACTAAACTTAAGGCTGTGTTGTAACTAATGATTTTGAGGACTCAGTCTTGGTAAATTCCGGGAGGAGAAGGCAAAGGAGAGGGACAGAGGGCAAGTTTGCTACTAATGGGTCTGCTGATTACACTGTCTAGTTGGCAACAAACTTTCCTGCCTCCCCCTTTCTACATCTGATCAAATGCATCAGACTCCTGTAAAACTACAAATATCCTGCTATTGTAAACATTCTGATCTGCATTAGCAAAAATCAACAAGCCAATCTACTAACATAAACCAAGAGAACTTTATACTGGGACAGAGATCAACAACAGGCATTAAAAACATTTGCATCTCATCCATCTAGCGCTAGGATAAACAGAAGGATTATAGCTCTGACCACTTGGTGTATACAATGTCTGTTAATTTACTTAATCTTCCACATTGTTGGACTAATCTATCACTTTCCGGAAGTTTGGGATCTTCTTCGCCCACTATAACAATGATCAGGCTCCCATAGTTTATTTTATTTTATTTTTTAAACAAGACAAACTAAAGTCAAATTGTGTTAGAAAATGAGAAACTGATGGCCAAAAAAAGTAAAATAGCATTAAGTTGAAAAGTTGAAAGGCTCATTTTATAAACTGAGAGAACACCCAATCCAAATTTGGTGTGAAGGGCTGCTACAATCTTACATTTGCTATGATAGAAAATATGCTTGCCAAAATCTGGTAGGTTAAGTAGGAAATTAACACAACAATGTACCCTTGTAAATTTAGGTTAAATCTGTAAAGTAACCTAAACGTCAAAGTGTTCCAAACATTACAGGATCAGGTCCTAAAAGAATAATTCTCCTTGTTTCTTCAGTATCAATAAAGTTAAAAATACTGATTTGGGGAAAAACACAAATTCTATTTCAGGACATGCAATATCTGTACAGTAGTAATACATAGGTTTCATGAGGTCTAACTGCAAACTGCTTGCTTTCTTCAAATCTCTTTTATACATAAACAAAAAACCTTGATGAGATTTAGCAGCCATCCTCTCAGTTCCTGTCTCTGACATTTTGTCATCCTTGTTGTCAAATGGATGTCAGTGAAGTCTAGTCATCTATCCAGCTTATGTCTACCTAAGCAGTTAAGTCACCTTTCAGAGCATTTTTACTTTGACAGTTCTACCTCAGTTCCATTTTAGAGACTGGATTTTTTTTTTCATGCAGTAGTTTGCCACAAAGAACCTGTGTTACTTTTAAGATTAGCCATTTGCAGAGCTCCACAGGTTGTTTGGAATAGAATAGGATCTGTTTCATTGCAGTTCTCAAATTCCCCTGAATGAAAAGCTTGCTTTCCACTCATACTCGATGAATTCACGTTCTTAATTAAATTCATAAGAAACAGTCTGCCTGTAGTTCTAAACAGAAGGGCCTTCAGGCCTTGCTTCACGAAATTTTAATATGAAGCTCTGTGCTCATACTTATGGTTCCCCAGCTCCCAAACAGAGCTTTCCACCCCCCCCCCCCCGTTCTACATCACTGTAAACCTCACACAATGATAGAAGGCCCACAGTGAGTCACTTGCAGCACAGTTGCAGCATGTTTGTATGTTCATATGTCCTTTGCACACAAACTGTTGTGCATACAAGAAATATGGAAGACATAAAGGCTAAACGTCAAACCCAGTTAACACTGGTCGATACTAGACACTCTGAACTAATTCAAACCCAGAATTAGCAAACGTTGCTAAAGAGGGCCATTTCTGTGTTTTTTCATGCTGGGTGTCAAAATTTCCTGGAACAGGTTTTAATACCAGCAGTGGAAACACTACTGCGTCTAGCGTGTAACAAGGAGTTAATAAAAACAGAGGGAAAGCAAGGACTATGATGTAAGCATGCTTCACACACCATGCATAGTAATAAAATGACAGATACGCTGAAGTGACCAAAAATTAAAAGCACACTTATTTTTATTTAAAAAGAAAGTCAAGACACACACAAATGCTTTACCTGACAATAAAATCAAACTCTGATCCTGCGAGCATTAACACTCCAAGCAGAGTGGACACAGCCCCATCCAGCACTGGTGCGAACATGTGTTCCAATGCAAGGACAGCCCTGCGGTTCCTGTCTCCTATGGCAGTTAAAAATGCCTGTAAAACAATTAAATCCACTTCATTAGACAGATGCACACAAGCTTCCTATAGCTCTTCTCATAGCATGCACACTTTTTCAGCAGTTAATTACTTCAAACCACAGTTTATGAAACTATAGCCAGCTAACCTTCAAGAGAAGGCCTGGTTCTGCATTCATACCATATAGCTGCTGCTGCTGAAATCACACAACCGGAGTAAACACTGTTTACAGAGTCAGACCATAGTAATAATTTTGGAAACAATGCCTCCTTGCATCAGCAGGCTTTTGTTACCAAGTTTTTCTTATTTCCACCTGCAAGAATTCATTTCATGTAAAAGCACTTCAGGTGTCATAATTACAGGGCTACTCCTTTCACTCCCATGGGGCCAGGGCTTCCATGACTTTAACACTTCTATTTCACTGAAAACAAATGTTTTTGCAATTCCTACTACTTCAAAGCTAGCAGAACTACACATATAAAAATGCCTTCCGAAGTGCTGAACATGGTAGCACCTGAGCAACAATATGACTAAGTGAAAAGTCCTTCTCTCTTCAACTCTTTAGTGAACAAGCGGTATCTAGAACAGTCAAAGGCTGTTGTTCCATATGAATTTTGTCTTCTCTGTGTATGACTTAGTCATTTAAGAAGACAAGAACCTGGTTTATCTTTTTCCTGTGATTTTTAAGTGGTTTCTCTTTGGCAATTCTCTACTGCCTGTTAAGATACGGGCTCCAGCAGCTATCTTCCTCTTGGTCTAAAATTTAAGTCTCTCTTCCCTAGCAGCTTATTTTCACTTCCCTGACAAATCTGGGGGGAAATCAGCCAACACATTAAAAATTATCTGGTGAGACAAGCAGACTGAAAAATGGGTACAGGTGGAGTGAGATTTCCAATCCTCACTTCTGTAGGTAGCCAAACCAGGTATTGGACTAAAAGTGGTCTGTGAAAAATCAGTGTCTCCAGGATATTGTACATTCCCCTATACATAAATAGATAAAGAATCCCATTCAGGGTAAAGGCAGCTGTCAATAAGATGACTCATATGAATGTGAGCTATGGGATCTGATTCACAAACATAGTAACTATTTATATATACATATGTATATGCACGTAATTAGAGAATGCATAATACAAGAGTCTACTATGGAGTCAGAATTTATTTGCAGAATTAAAAAGATGAGGTTACAGTTCACAAGCAATGATCGAGAACTGAGCCACAAGTGGATCATGAATGACTCTTAAATAAGTTCAAGGAAGCTTTTTATCAACAGTTCCAGCATTGTGGTTTTTGTTTATGCAACACTAGTTTGACTGCTTATATGCAGGAAGTGCAGTGAAGGTCAGTACTGCTGCTATCATCTGAGGTCTACCAGACATTCTTTTATTTATAGGCTATGTTTGAAAGTTTTTTACTCCAGAGTCAATGTGAAAAAATGGCAATTTTAAGAAAATGGAATTTTCAGTTTGTTTGGCATTTTATCTTCAGCCATAGATGACTTTTTTAACATACGTATATATATATGTATATACACACACATAAAGTCCTGGAAATTAGCTCAGTTTCTTTCCATTCAGAAACAACTGTTTTGTCCTTTTTTTATTCCAGTTTTCCTGTTTTAAATCTTTAGTTTTTATTTCTTCCTTTTGTACATTATCAGTTTCTGACACTTCCCAAACTATTTCAGGTCCTAGCAAACAGGTTTACCTCCAAAAGCCTAACTACCCATAGCAGGAGGGTAAAAAAAAGATGTCACCCCTTCAGTGATCCAGTTGCTCGTCTTTAACCTTACCCTACTTCCCCTACAATTTTTATTAAAATTATTCTTTACATCCTGTCACTTTATATGCCCCAACTTTGTACATCACCTACAAGTTCCCAGGATCTGGCCATCTCCAGCGTGCTCCATAAGTGCGTCCATAAGTCCTCCTTATGAGTGTAAACGGCCTGCTGCATTCCCATCCAATGTCACCACCACATTCCAGGCCCCTCCCTTCACTTCTTGTTGGATTGCTATAGTACTAACATACTACAGACTATAGCAGACTACAAGCACCTCACCCCTGAAATTATGCACACCACTCATTCTTTACTACTTTTTAACACAGTAAAATTCAAGTCCATGAAGACAATGATATTCTTAAAATTATTCTGAAACACCAATTAGAACAGCTTTATAGGAAAATGACTTATGCTAAGTGTGCAAAATGTTGGAAAGATCAGCACTGGCATTGTCAAATTAGCCCTTTATTCTTTGTCACCAAATAAAGCAAGATGAGTTTGCATATCTTGAACACCCAAACCCTTGCAAGCACTGTAATCTTTATACATTTTTGCATATTAGGTTGAGTAAGCTGGGTGAGTAAGTGCACACTCTATTCAGGCTCTTAACCTTGAAAATGTTTAAAGTCTGCATATAAAACATACTTTTTTCTCCTCTCTGCTTGTCCTCATCACATTGAAAAACTGTTTTCCTACAGACTGCATGTTTGTGCCCTATTAATAGCTGATAGTTCTGAGAAGAAAGTGCAGATTTTTCAAGGGGAAAATGAATCCAAATACATTCAAATTTTATTGGTCCAGTGAGATCAAATGACACTATATGTGACTTTGAAAATCTTCTCTTCCACAAGATACAGAATCTACATGCAAGAGGGAACGAACAGTCACATAGCACTGCACAGGGAGGCTGTATACAAGGACTGGGACAGTCTGCAGTAAGGTGCATCAAGAGCTTTGCTTTGTCTATATATTTGCATCACTCAGACAACTAGGTATCACTGATACTCACTGATACTGACTGATACTGACTCAGCAACTACCTCTATCAAGACAAACTGAATGGCACACAAAACAGCTTGTGACCAGTTTTCTGCAGAGAATCAGGTCACTGATTTAGGAGACTAAGTAAGGATTTGTGATCCTAACATTGCCACCATTTTATTTTAGAATATTTTGAAAATGCTTCCTGATCTTACGTACCAATGCAACGTGAACAGTGAATTCCACACCAATGCCAACAGAAGCAATCAGGATAACCACAGGAACTGCACTCAGCTTTATTCCAATTAGACCCATCATGCCGAAAAGCTCCACAGTCATAAGAGCCAGCACCACCACCTAGACGATTTCAAACAGCTGTTAGTAACTTCTTATACTCCAGACAAATTAAGAGAAAGATATTTCAGAACAATATGGTGACTTCAAAACATACTCTTCAAAGCCATGCTATATTCCCAAAGACCATCTGCTTTTCCTTATATCATTATGCTCAATGGCAATGACTTGCAGAATTAATAGTCTAAATTATACTCCTAAGAAGTTATCAGACCAAGCATCAATTTTGTATTGATTACAATTTACCTGTGATTTGAAAAAAAATTTATTTTTCCTTATCACAGAAACATACATTTTCTATTTTTCACCTTATTTCTTGGACAATTCTTCCAGAAAAAGTAACTCTCAACTACCTGTATTGGAATTTCTTTTGCACAACTGCAAATATAAGTGAGGATGACTTCTAAGTAGGTTTAAAGCCCAGAAGAAAGTGAACGCCATAATCAGCTGATGAGTCTCAGGTTACAGAGGAGCTCTGAGCTTTTAAGATACTTCGAGGGATTGACATGGACAAAGTGAACAGTTAAATCTAAGGGAAAGCTTTTATTTTTCTTTCATCTACCATGTAAAAAAATGAGGAAAAGGGAGGGGAGGAAATCTGTAGAATCAACTTTAGAAGTTGCTAAAGCCAAGCAGGGAAAAAAAGATAGACATACTTATAAAAGCAATGGTGGACTTTGAAAATAAACGCCTTTTCCAAGGGAAAAAGTATGTACTACAATAAATGATTTTATAAGCTAATGAATCAAGAGTAATAACATAAATTGCTTGATTAACTGCTATGAAAAATATTCTAGACTAAACATTTACCTTTTAACATACCTGTCGTATAAACACACATTACAAAAACTAGTAACTGTTTTACGCTTTTCTACTTCTGGCATTTTATAAACCATACGATAGTTTATGGAATTTAAACATAGGAACATCATCATTCAACTTAACTTGAATGTTTACTAAGAGGCTTATGGTGCCTAGCAGAAAGTATGGAGGAGTATTCTCTACAGTTTATAATTTTATGGCTCTTTCTCCTCGATAGCTCAGTCACACTCTTTCCATAGTGCACACTGTACAACCTAACCATTTCAGATTTTCCAGAAAGACTGGATTCAGAAATTATTGGGAAAATTTATGGGCAAGTTAGTCTCAAGCAACTGCCTTGAAAAATAAGTATGTCTCATAAAAAGGGAGAAGGAATAAATAATTAGGAATAACTTTAAATAATTAATAAAGATCTTGATTTCCCTCTGTGTCTTTATTTTGCATGTATCTGAGCAAGGGCAAAAGTTTATGTACTATTCCAAGAAACCTTTAAAGCTGGAAAAAAAGGTGGCCAAAGGATTAAGGTTATTAAGGTTTGTACCTTTAGCATGAACCCTACCCCCTTAAGTTGAATAAATATATAATGAATGATGCAATATACATACTCCACCAGAGGCCCAGACATAAACAAAACCTTCCCGACTACAGCAAGAGCTATGCTGAAAGGAATTTGACTTCAACAAAGACCCTTATAATAAACTTACAATGATCCCAGCTGTCCAGGGGTTTAGGAGGAAGAGGGCACACACCAGAAATGTGCAAGCCAAAACCACACTAATTGATAAGAGCAGCCAGTGACGAAGCCCAATGTACTGCTCCCAAAACAGAAACGGGTAACCATTTGGGTAGCTGGTGATCCCCAGGCTGGTGTAGTTATTACAGATAGCTCTCACTTTCTCAATAGCCTCCACAAAGTCAGAAGTTTCACGCAATCCGTTGAGGTAGAAAGGAAACTGAGCATATTCTATGGGCTCAGCTGCTGGAACTAGAGAAGGATAGCAGTGTTAAAATGTGTGCTTGGGAAGAAGGTACCCGAGAACAGGATTAACAAAACATTTTGTTCTCTGCAGCAAAATGCTTAAAGGTGTTGAATTTAAACTTTACTTCTTTGGAATAAGTGACATTTTAAAAAATCATTGATAAATCAAACACTGAAACAGTACACAAGATTACTAGATTTTATCATGCAGTGCAATTGGATGAACACAGGCTACACCAAGTCCCCAAACAATTCTTTATAATTTAACAGATATATTTCAATACATGTATTTAATTCTCATCAGTGCTGTAGTGGTTTTTACTGAATACCTGGCCGAAAATCCCTAGCTGCAATATAAACAAGATGATCACATAATCTTAAACACTTTATCCAAGAACTCTTCTTTTATGCAATTCCTTTGAACTCAAAGGTAATTTCCCTGGGATTAACTGAGGTTCACTGACACAAAACTAGAGAAAAACTATGCTCGAACAGGCTGGTTGGTTTAAGATTTCCAGTGAATACTTTGAAATTCAGATTCAGAAATCCATGTGCTGTTACTGATGCAAATGACTGGGGAAAAAACCCTAACATAAAAGTAATGTTTTACTGAAGAAAAATGTAACTTTTTATCCTTTAATAATTTGACCAACCAACACTCTCCATACTTCTATTTCAGCATAGTGCTAAGTCTACTGCATGACAAGGAAAAGAAAAATCTTCCACAACAAGCATTTTGTTACTGCCGTTGTGTGTTCCAGACCCTGCAGGGTCATTCAGCTGACTTGCTAAACATTATTTGCCCTATTATAATCTCAACTATAAATTTTCATTAAGACAAGACTTGGCAGTTTGCCACAAAGCTCTAGGGTTTGTGAATCACAGCTACCCAATCACATTTCCAAGCGTACCAGTCCTCCCCTACATGCCCTCTCCCCTTCCCCATTGGTGTCCAACTAGCAATCCTCTCAGTAAGTTGATAGCTGAAGCATAGCAATGAAAACTGGCACAGACTGGGACTAGTCCGTGCCTAAGTAGCTCTGGTACCACATCAGTGTTGGTAACTCTGCATATGAGCTAGCTTGGTAAAAATCCCTTAGGCATTAATAATTGAGGGTAAACATGATGTAATCTCAGTGACAAAATTTCAGAATGACACAGACAGGAATTTCTTGCAATCTCCCAAGTTTCTTTCACAGACAGAACTCTCTGGCGACACTAAAAAAAAAAAATGCTTACTATAAATTTTTAGAGCTTTAAACTGCTATAAACCTTATTTTTCGACATGATAAAACCCTGCAATGGTGCTGTATCTGCAATGGTGCATAGGTCTCCTGAGGCTACAGAGTAACACAATACATTGCTTCTGAGCCCTGGTGCAGCATCAGACCACTACAGAGTTACTGGCTCATGAAGGAAGGAGTGGGGGCACTCCTTACAGTTTATATAACAGACAGTAAGATATTAAGATGAAATGCTACTTACTTCTCAGTCTTGTTTCTGGCATATAGTCTGCTTTGTCATGGACCCACTCTGGGCGGTGAGGCCGGATGTTGGCTTGCGAGGCAGCATAAGCCACAGGGTCATTGCTAACCCAGGCTGTCAGGTAGATGTAGAAAGCATTTGGGTTAATGATTCCATCTGCATCCACCAGACGCTGTTTAGTCAACTGCAAAATGGAAAATATTAGAAGCCTTTCAGAATGAGTTTTGCTTTCAGGGCTCTTGCCATAAAGCTTTCAACAAATGGCCTGGAGATGCAACACACATATCAGAGGGGAAGAGCAAAAGAGTATGGAGATTCACTCTAAGTGACTTATCTGTAAACTATTGTTCTACAATGGGAAAAAAAAAAAAAAGTACAACAGTGACAGTAGAAAGTGGTTATTTATAAATTAGTACTCATATAATATTTACAATAACCACTAAATCAGCAGATGGTTCCAGGATAGCCAATTGAATCCAAATTCTGAGAGCCTGCAGCCAAGAGTGAAAAACAACCAACTTCAAGAAACACATTTAAAGACAGGGAAAGAAAACCTGGCAGGAGTCCCTATACACGTCTGTGTGCAGTTAACCTCTGTTGTTAACACTGAAGGAAATGCCACCCAGTAAATGGAGGAGAGCTATAAAAATAAAACAACATCTGTATAAATTTTTCTAACACTTGCCTCCTATGACCTATGTATTCAGAAAATGCCCAGCATCAAGAAAGCAGACGAGTGCCCTGTGTTATTTGGGTCACTGTGGGCAAATGCATCTGTGGGGTAAACAGCAGTGGTACGCTTCTAAGGTTCTGCAGCCAAATCCTGCACAGCTAGAGCTCTGACAGAGGACTCTGTGGGTGAAAAGTATTACTGGGGTTTTCTGTTTTGTTTATTTAAAATACTGGCTTGGCTCCAGTTTCAGGTCTTTTTAATGAAATGAAAAACAACAGTGACAGCAGCTGAAAAAAAAAGAAAAAAGAAAAAAAAAAAGCTGGATTCCAAGGATCTGGATTCAATTAGTCCACAGGATATGCAACAACTGTATGTCTTCAAGCTGTCTCTGGAACTGCACAGCACAGCGCTCAGCCCCTGTGGGTGCACCACACTTTTCTCCCTCCCAGGCACAGGAAATTATATCAGCAGCTGCAGTCCAATCACATTTGTTCCACAGCGTACCTGGTACACTCTGCTAAACAAAATCTCAATGAAGGTTTTCTCTTCAACTCCCTTTCTTTGCTTAATTCATAGCTGAAGCTTCATTCAGACCTGACAGCATGTTGCATGTTGCTATACAACAGTGTGTTTTACACACCATAGCAAGTCTGAACAATGTACTCTGTAAATCTGTCACCTTTAATGCCAGGAAAAAAAGAAAGACAATAAGCAGATCTGCCAAGAAGCTCATCAGAAAGACTATTTTTCTGCCTGAAAGCACAGTCAGTAAGGACTCTAGATGAGGAGAAGCTAGGTTACTGCGGGATTTCGGCTTAAAGGTTTGAAACCTAGTTTTACTGTAAGAAGTCAAACCTAATATATTCCCACCTACCAACAGCTATAACAAATGCAGTCACAAGCTGTGATAACCTCAAACATACTTTACTTAGGCAGCTCAGACAACTGCTGTTCTACAGCAGTATAGCTGTATCTAGTGATGATTGTATAAGTACAGCGTGTAAAAATTTCAGTCCCCATCCACTGCCATCTTTTTTTAAATGTTATGTTTTGCATAAATCAGTAGGAACTAACCAAATAGTTGCAAATGCTGGATTCAAAATCCCAGCACAAAGCTGAGCAGAGGTCAACCCTATAAGGCAATCTGATTCAATCAGGAACAATGCCACTTAGAGCAACAAGGCTAATGTTGGCTCTGTCTGGCACACCACCAGACTCAGTCTACCTACGGATGCAGCAAAATATTTTTCACAATTTCAGTGGAAACCGAGCGTGTCTGACACAGGAGCAGCTCCAAACACACACCGATCACTAACAATCAATGGCAGGCATTCCCAGCACTGATTCTGAACACTTCACAATGCAGGCCAGACTGCAGCTAACAAGTGGCTTCAGCAGAGTCAGTGAGGCCATGCAGTAAGGTGTAACTCACGCATTTAACTCACCAAAATGAATAAAGCCACTACAACATGCACTTTGCCTCTTTACCCACTCCTGTATTCCTGTAGAAACCATTACGGAGTCTGATACAGTACCTGGCTGATGTCAATGGGCTTTGCTCTGTTGCCTGTTTGTACCAGGAGTTTGTAAGCCAAAACAGCATCATCAGATCCATTTTTGTAATTGTTGTAAGTGATCTTCCCACTTTCCCAATCGCTGTCAAATGCATCCTGCAGTCCTGAAGAGTTAATGGAGGCAAGTAGAAGACAGAACAAGCAGGTAAGCAACCACTCTTAGAAATAAATTTCAGTAGGAAGACTCTTTTTCATAGCTGAATCAGGAAGTAAATTATCGACCTGCTGCCTCCTAAATTTGGTGCTCCTCATTCACTGACAGTGTGGGAAGATAAAGTATGAGTTACGTGTCTACTATTTTGTGCAAAGAAAGGCAGGGGAAGCAGGAAAGTGCAAGGGACAAGCCTCAAGTCTTCCTATGTTGTACAGGCCAGCAAGGCTGAGCTAGCAAGCTGCAGATGCTATGTCCACTGGTGTAAAACAACTTCCAGTTAAGGCAAAGAGGAGATCTTGGATGGGATCTGGTCCTGCGTCCTTCTCAGAGCCTCTGACAGAAGCTCAGTGTTCTTGTTGGAGAGGTATATGCAGAAGACCTAAGCTTCTCTAGAATAAAAAGCAGTTTCCCTTGTGAATAATTCCAGAACCATTACGCTCAAAACTCCATAAGCACATTTGCATTTATCCCCTCTTTCATATATACCCTCCTCAAAACACAGCTGAAGTCTTGCCCTAAATGCCAGAACAGAGAGGGGCTGAGTTCAGCCCTGATCCAATTTCACCACCTACCATGGAGTTTAAATCAGGGGAAGCATTTAGTCTGTTATCTAAGGGGGAAACACTCTCCATACTCCCCTCTGCCTCACCAAACCCCTGGCTGAGTGCACTGAATCACAGAGGAGGACACACACCGCTCTCATTTTTACTGGCTTGGGCTACTGCAGAGCACTGAGGCAATAGCTTCTACAATATAACCAGAAATTCCACTACAAGGGGAAAAAAAAACACACTCCAACTTTCAACTTCAAACAGCAACTCAGCTGCTCCTCGAGCACAGCATGAGTGAACACGATTTTGTCAATTTGTTCCATCTGTTCAACTTGTGCAGCTAATACAAGTCGTGGGATCTGCTGCCAGCACATGTAAAGATCACAGCCAACACCTATTCACTCTCAACTGTTATATTCCTCCTTGCCACCCTTCAAGGGGGAGGGAATACCTCACAGCACAAATTTGGATCAGATTTAGTACAGGAAGCCACAGTCCAGTACAAGGAGGTTCTGTGCAAACAGATGACAAACTGCATGTCCAGGGAAGGGAAGAAAAAGGACGGGGAATGTTGGTGGAGGAAATCACCGACCCACCTCACAGCTGTGCTGTGGAGCTGTAATGAAAACTGTCATTACAGATCGCGCAGGTTAGCCCCAGCTGCACAGAGATAACAGCGCTGAAAGAGAAAATGCACTCAGCTGACACTGCCTCCAGGCCACAGTTCCCACTCCCATGTACAAATTGATCCCCTCTCCCTTAGAAAACTGCCTCCCATGCTGTTTGGCCAAATCGTACCCACACGTAAAGCCAACAGGCTGAGAACCAAGCAATGAAAGAAGCCTGCCCCACCTCTGCACATGGCCCTCCAGCATCTGCCCAGGAGCAGGCGATTTGCTGTCAGGTTTTCTGGCATCACCAAATGACTTCGAGGCTCCCTTCAAAAAAAGCACTGTTTGCTGGTGCCCTCGGACAGGGTAAACATTGTTTAGAACATGCAAAAATACCAATCCATCCTTCCTGTGCCAAGTTCAGCTTCATGTCAGTCTCTCGGGAAGTGGCCAGATGAGAGCATTTGTGCTATCGTACCAGTCATGTGAAAGAGGTCTGAGAGGTTAAGAGAAGGCTGTCAAAAAGCATGTGGGAAAGAAGAAGACCACCAAAGAACAGCTTGATTTACAGTAAAAATGGCTCCTTTCAGCAGGAAGAGCACACAAATTGTTATGACAGACAGTACGGGAGAGCAGAACTTTCAGACTAACATCCAACCCCAGAGTGCTCCACAGACACATAGTAACAAATATATCCATTGGCATGTGACATTACAAATCTGTGGTTGCAGGGTAGGTCAAAAAGGGGCATGTACATTTAAGATTACTGCAGCAGGTGAAAACCCAGCTCTCTCGCATCTTCCTCCCTCCCCTGCCCTTGCAAGTTTGGTCATCACTCAAACCCTGCTCCCTGTTGTATCTTAATTCCTCAGTGGCTTAACCACTTTATGCTGTTTTATTTAATTACTGACCTTGCTGACACTGAAAGCCTGTGGAAAGAATACCAAGAAACCACAATCAGTTCTGTGTAATTTCTAAAGAATTTCAGAATTTCAGTCATTAGTATTTCCCATGACACTTTGAAGTTAATAGCGGAGTTGCGCTTTCAAACTAACTAGTACTTATATTATAAACTGTTTACACAAATGATTTTAAAAGACATTTAGTCTTTTATAAATGGGATTAATGAAATGTATAAATGAGATTAATTAAATTGCAGAAATACAAAAGTAACTTGTCAACCTCTGTTGCAGAGAAGTTATAAAAATTTAGGGAATTTTAAAAACATTTATACGGGATATTTTCATATCAGTGGTCACTTCTGCTTAATGCTTCAGAAGAAAGCAAAATCCTCCAAAATTATGTGGGATGCAGGAATGGGGGTGAGGAAGGAATTCCTACTGACTCATGTGAACAGCTGGCACCATGAAATATCAGATAAGATTACCCTTTGCAAAAACAAGCCTAATTACAAGTCATCAGGGAATTCTAGCTACCTGATTATATTCAGTCACTTACAATAATAATGTTAACGTTTCCAGTTTAAATGAATAATTAGTGTTAATTCTTCTTCTGTTGCGTTTTCAGTAACAGAAAATATGCTGACAGGATATGACATTAGAAAGCAGCATACAAGGAAACCTCTGAAAAAAAGGAAGTGCATTAGGTGGAAGGCACACCACTAATAGTAAATGAGAAGAAATCTATGGCTAAGACCAGAGGCACATTCTTGATAAAAAAAAGCTTTTGTTGACATGCTGTCTCTTCCCTCATTCTGCCAGACAAATGTGTGCATGTCATAAGGCCATCTTGAGCCATTAATCTCTAGCACTCTAGTCAAGTCGTCAGGAATTAGCCATTAAGTTCAAAGTTGTCTCTACTTTGATTATTCTGCTCCTCCAGCATGTGAAAATACACAAGTAGAACTGTTCCCACCTCACAGGCGATGCTCCTCTTTGAATCGAGCCTAAAACTGTATCTTGTTTGCAAATTCTGTTTTCACCTTTCCTCCCCCACCATCAGCCTCAGCGGGTAATGATCAGGTATTATTTTGTCTATTACTAACTGCTCCTTGAGATAATTTCCTAACTATGACAAGTGTGGCAGCTTTTAGCATAACTGTTTAGTTCACCCCATTTACCATTTAAAACGTAACTTCTTTCTATTGATACATTTCAATATTCTTCACAGTTTCGTGAATGCAGCACCACACTTTGAGAAGAGAGTGCTGTTTTGGGCTGTTTGTATTAAATGTGCAGCTGTTTGTATTAATTGTTGTGCCTCTCTTGGGGAAGGTAGGGAGGAGAGGTAAGGACAAAGACCTAAATAAAAATTAGCAATCATAATGATTAGTTCTAAAGCTGTGGGAAATCAACAGGCCAAGCAATGCACCTTCTGTCACAGGGCTGGCATCTCCACTTGAACCACCTCAAGTCACTGCTTCTGGAGTCTCCCTGACCGTTCCAGTATAGCATTTTAGCTCCATGCACCCTGTCAGTATATCCAGGTTATCAGGAATACTCATAGCTCCTCTACTGGAAGACAAGGGAGAAGGACAGGTATGCTAATACAGGTTGGAAGGTAAGTGTGGGCAGTAAGAAGAGAATAGGAGCACCCTTAACAGAAAAACGAATAGGGAAAATGTGTACACACAGCATAGAGAAGATGTGCAGGCCTTTGGCATTGGGCTAGGCCAACACAAAGGGTCCTTAGCACAAGGAAGTGACTACAAAGAGGATGGGGAGACATCCAGAGTGGAAGAGGTTTGGGAAAGTACGTGGTGGACCTCAGAGAGTGGCAGTGGGAACGCGAGCACCCCTGGGAGCAACAACAAGTGGGCTTAGCCTCCAGCATTTCACTTTAGCAAGCCGGCAAGGGAGCAGAGCCAAGGGCACCTCTTCCGACTCTACTGTTGGCAGACTGTGCTGAGGTTCAGTATTAATATGTGAAGATCCTGAACATGATCTTATTTTTCCAACTCCCTCACAGGTTTGAAGGCTGGTGAAAGGTGGAAGGGGGGAACACCAAACATATTTTTGCCTACTGTTTTAGAACAACAATAAAAAATACCCACAAAAGAAATAAAATAAACAACAGAAGTAGAAGAGACTTTGGAAGCGCATGTAGAAATATGCTTGATTAGAAATCTAGAAAGTATAGTAAAGTTCCAGTCCAGCAAAACATCTAAGGTATGCTGAACTTTCTTCCTGCCAGTAATACCTTCCCTTATAGCTCAATATGCTTATGTGAGCAAAATATTTTAAATAAAGCTTCCAGTAAGTAGACTGTAATGAATGGATCCAATATACTTAAAAACTATTAAGAAAACAAAGACCAAAGCTAACAGCTGATTGGTCCCATAGGTTTGCATGATTTATCAGTACATTAAACACAAGGGAAACTTGATCATTTCATTTAAATGCATCACTAAGATGCATCTGCTTTCCTAATATTGCCCAATATATTTTCAGAAGGAATAAAATTCCAAACACTGGCAGTTACCTACATGTTCTCTATGAATCACTGGCTGCACTGATTGTCTCTAAACAGTTAAGTTTAAAATTTACAGTCTCACTAGGTAGCACAATTTATTTGTCTATTGGCAAAAGCTTCCTGGAGATTCTCCCAACAAAAAAGACAGAGGTAGGACAAAAGTACCTCTGGGCAAGATATGTGTGCTGTTAAATTTGCTGAGATGTAACAGTATTATTTATTTTAAATACAAAACAGTTATTTGTCTCAACATGTGCAATTATAGTGTCTTTAATACTTTTAAGAGGCTAACGTCAATATAATTGTCATCATAGTACCTGAAACGCCATGCCTTCTTTTGTCTTCCCCTGCTATGCTACACTTCAGTACAGAAAAAGCAGCACCACAGAAACAGTGAGGGTATTTGACTGGAAATCTAGAATGTATAGTGAGTTCCAAATCCAATAAAACACATAAGCTACACTGAATTTTCTTCATGCCAGCAGTTCCAGCTGCAGCCAACAGATCACTCATGTGCGGAAAGTTAAGCCTGCGCCAAAATGTATTGCTGGACAGGGACTTCTCATTTATTGTTCTCAAAACAGCCAATATTTATTTACCCAAGACAGTGGGCCATATTTAGTCATAAATTATAAAGCAGAACCCATCAGCTGCTTAGAAATTAATGGCATGAGATGGGCTCTTATGGATATAATCTCTTAAAGCTTAAAAACTGACCTCAGTAAACTTAGCCACAAAGAATTTAAGTGACCTGTTCCAGGGAGTTAATGTGCAAGTTTGCATAGTCACCTAGCTCACACTCTTTAACCATGTGATTAAATTCAAAGAGGGGAGCACTATGAACTAGCGCGAACAAGTAGTTACTACTGTAGAATTAAGAAAAGTTCATGAAACTTTCTCTTACCTTGCAGCCAGTCTCGAAAGTAGTGCAACCACATTTTGGGAAGCTGCCTATCTTCTTCCAACAAAACATATGTCACATTGCTGAAACTTCTGTGAAGTTCATACAGTAAGTGCTGGACATTTGGATAGTCTGCTTTTTGTGTCACAATATACATGTTGTAGAATGAAAAGTACTTGAATTGTGCGGCAATAAAGTCATATTCCCGTGTTTCCCGTGGTACAATGTCTGTGAGATCTAGTCCATCTCTCACCCGGGTAGTTCCATAAAGGCTGAGCCCAAGCAAACCCACAAAAAGAAAAATAACCACAATCTGCAAAAGAAAATGGAAACGCATTTGGTTTTAGGTTTCTAAAGAAATTAACAATTCATAACAGCATACTACAAAGCCAGGTTCAAAATTAACACCGATCAAGTCTACTTAAAAACTTTTTATTTCTCCTTTTTTTTTCTTTTTTTCATATACATACACACTACAGGGCTAACTAGTTTGTGCTTTACTGAAGGGGCTCTGCACCACAGATGAGAAATTTATACATAATAAAGTTAAAAAGTCGCTTTAGTTTCACAAACTTTCATTACTGAAAGTCACCAAAACCCTTACTGGTAACATATCTGAAAAATATCTCTCTACAGCATTCGCAAGATGAAACTTTTAAAGAAGTATGAAATTAGCTGTAAAATTCTTAATAACTGTTATTCCAAAAGAATTCTATTTATTCCTTGTATTCAGAATCATTGCCAGGATAATTTTATTACTGGGCAAGGCAGAGTCTATTTTTAAAAAACAGGTAAATAGTTCCCAGATTACCTTAGCTTTTGGTTTTAGGAGGAACGGAGCATAATGTTTTTCTGCAAAAGATGAGAGTGTCCACTTCGTACAGGGTGGCTCAAGGCAATGTATGCTGGAGTCTGAGAATTGGGAAAGCAAATCCCTCGTCGAGCTTGTGCTTTCTGGGCTCTGGCAGCTGAAATTATCTTGCGTCACTGTTACTGGCTGCACAGATATTTCTGAACGAGGCTCTGCTGTGGTGTAGTACACCTGCGTATGAGGATCGTATTCTGTGCGTAACTGCACTGTGGACTGCATTGTAATTTGAGTTTCATGTGCAAAACTGTGACTGCTGTATGGGGGTGGAGGGCTGTAGCAGGTATTGTCATTTTCCACATATGCTTGAGGCTCAATCTGAATCACTCTAGTAACACATGGACTGTAAGAGAAGAGAAAAACATATGTTCATATTTAGATCAAACTTAATCAGACTCGACAGGATAACCTGCTTCCATCTGAGCCTGCTTCTACTACTATTAGAGGGTTTGCATTAATTAAATGTAACACTTTGACGTCAATTTTATTTTGCACCTTTAGGAAACATTTCTCAGACATGGTTCAAAGTGTAGGCCTCTGAGAATATGTTCATACTTTTTGTGTTCAGGGAAGAAGGAACCAGCATCTGTGTGAAGACACTGACATCTACCCACACTGCTCCATTATTTACACAGGCTACTCAGATAAATATTCAGGTAGTTGCATACAGCCTGAATGCACAATACGTGTATGAGTTTGCATCTGTGTGCCCATGCTGAGAATTAAGCCATTTAGATCAAAATGTAAACGCATGATACACTGAGTTCTTCTGTTTAGAACTATTAAAGTATTCGTTAAATAATATTTGGGCCTTCTAGATAACATGTCAGACTTTTGGGAGACAGGAATTCAGAATGTTGCCCAGCTAAACAAAGCAAGCTCTCATTAACTGCCTTCTTCATATGTAAATGGACCTGAATTCTGATACACATTTGGTGCAACTTTAGATGAGAGAACAAATGGAATGTCTGATTGCTCTGTACTCTGAGAATCTGGGCTCCAAAATTCAAGCACATTAGGCCATCCACTGAAATGATGACTGAATGAGAAACAGGAAGTAGGACTCTTGGCTTGGGATCAGGGCCCTGTTCTAACCACTCCCTCAAAAACAGACTTAGGAAAATGCTTTCTCTCTTTGACGTTAAAATTAAAATGTCAAACTAGGTCAGCTCCTAGGTGGGTGTAAAACACTAAGATAACATGAGGTGGATTGTCCACATTCTGGTTATGACGGTAAGAGAACATGTGTAGAAATGTAGCTGATGTTCTTCATTGCAGGAAAAAGCAAAAACTAAGGTAGAAAACATGCTTCATTTCTAAGCAGTAGCTCCACCAATGACGGCAGACTCATTCTACCTCTATGCTCAGAGCTGGCCATGTATCAAGTGACAGTCTATATACAGACTCTTCAGAATGCAGTGTTATCATTACAAACTACTACTGCAGCCACAGCAGAAACTTGTATCAAGAACTATCCTGTAACAGTACTGATTGTTTCTCATAATCACATGAAACACTTTGCGAAGCAGAAGGCATTTTGCATTTTATATATTATGTTTATATATTTAAGTTTAAAGCCCTAAAAAGCATAAAAACTAGTACACATAGTGATTAACTGTAAGTACGGCTTTTCAGTACCCTGAGTTATATAGGCTTCCAATATTGCCCAAAACTGGCACTGGACATACTCCCAAAGTGTGGATCTTTTTATCTGCTTTCAAAAAGCTGTCCTCCAACAAACAAGATAAACGCATGCCTGAATGAAATGAGAAGTGTATGTATGAAAGGGGTGGGGTAACGGAGGGAAGAGAGGTATTTTAACTCTTCCCCTCAATCAGGTAAAAAACAAAGTAGCAAATGGAAGTCTGTCACTAACAATTAGATCATAACAGTAACATACTAACCCTGATGCAATAAAGAACTCCGGCTCCTCACAAGGAATGGCAGCCCTTACTGCTGACCACAAAAAGGACACACCTCATCATCAATTTATCACAGATTCTCACCTTGTAAAACAGCAGAATATATCCAGTCTCCTGTCTTCCCGACGATAAAGGTCCATGCTCAGGATAGCAGGGAAAATCAGCAGCACCATAGCAAAGTTGAATACCACCACAACTGCTGCCTAGAGATCAATCACAGGAAGATTGATGTTGTTACTAAGCTTCATGTAGGGCACCAGCTTTACAAAGCATAAAACTTCCCTTCAGTTCTCATTCGTTCACCCATTTATCATGTCAACCGATCAGATGCTTCCAAGTTTTTCCCTGAGTAAACTGGGAGATATACTTTTACATTCCCATTTCATTATGGTAGGCCTACTGCAATTAATTAATTTATTTCCATAATAAACTTCATATTGTTTTAATACATCTGAGATGTGATGGGATGGGATGATGATTTTTAAAGTGGAAACCATAGTCAACAGATCATAATTTTGCATGCGATCCTGCTGTATTTGGAGTAAAAAAAGATGGAAGGAAAACCAAAAGTGGAATTGGAATGGAAGTTCTCACATTTAAGGGATCTGAAGTAATTTAAGCAACACAGTAACATTAAAGCACGCTGTTAAAACAGAAATTAAGTAAAGGTTTAAGTAAATTTTACTGAAAATGTTTATTTACTAAAATTGTGAAGTACTTCAAGTACTCACTTAAAAGTTTAGCCAGAAAGAGAAACATTGTGGGTTTATTACGGATTATTTTTAAAGGAGAATCAAAATTAATTCAACACCACATAGTAAATCTATGTATTAATATGTTTGTGTTTGACAACTTCATTAACGACCCAATCTGCCAAAATGACTCTTAAACTGGAACAACGGTACTTGGTTTAATTTGTAAAGTGAGTATTACGTAATGAAAAAACCCAACCTCCCTTTCCTTTCAAATCCTACTTCAAACCCTTTCCCACACAGAGATTCCAGAGAATCTCCAAAAACATATGTGGTGCAGCATCTATCATCATTATTAATAGCATGTATTTGTAATGCAGAATTGTAAGGAGCACTAGCCACCACAAAGGAAAAGCCTGAGCACAGATGGGACTGGAATATAGCTGTAAGAGTAGGAAAGACACTGGAAAAAAAATAATGGTTGAGCCGTTAACAGGTGAAAAAGAACCCTGAAATCCTTGTTCTTTATCTATTAAATAAGCAGTAGCTATCTCAATTGCAGCCTCATTTCAGGTTAAGGAAATCATACAAACTATCAAGTTCCCCCACCTGTAACTTCTAAAGTCACGACCACTTGGGTTAAAGCACTCATAAAAAAAGAACAAAAGCTGGGCTACAAAAATGAAGTCGCTGACCTGATACAAATAGGCCCTTCTTTTTTCAGAACAAATGAATGGCTGCTTTTGATGTTGAAAAATCAGGCCTCAAAGCTGGTAGCTAAAAAGATGTGATATCCAATATCCATGTTTTCCAAATTCTTGGCTTACATGTCAAATAAATAATATAAAATGGCTAAACAACATTTTTATTTTTGCATATACCTGTGAAAATCAAAGTACTAACACACTGAATGATTTCAAGAGCTTTGAAGCTGTCAAAGTATAATAAAAAGACTAGATACTGCTTTTACTTCTCTGAGAATGACAGAATCAACTAGTTATGTAAATATTTTCTAATAATTTCAATCATAAATATGTTGCAAACAGAATTATTTTCTATTGGTGTTCCTCTTTTGTTCTCTCTAGCCTGCCTGAAGTAAGATTTTGGTCCTGCTGGTTGTTCACAGACATAACTACTAAACCAGAATTTACCAAGTACTTAAAAGCCAAATTAGTATTTAGCCATCTTTGAGAAAAAAGATCCAGTGACTGTTTCATGATTTATAAATATCCATGCAAAAAGGTATATAAGGTCATAACCAAAACTTTAAGTGATTTCATTTTGATTCTCTCTAGAATTAATTGAATCTGTCAGAAAAACAAATGGCTGTTGTTGTGAGAAAGGTGTTGGACCTAGTTTATACAACTGCTTGCTTTATTGCTGCTAAACCAGAGAAGGCCGAATCATGCATATAACATGAATAACTAGTTGTGTCTAACCAAGATCTTCTAGCAAGGATCTGCTAAGATTTAGTGAGAAAAAACAGCTGAAGCTTGACCCAGTAATTTTTACTCCTCCCAGCATGACTAAAAAACTAACAGAAGTCCTCTGTTCCATAAACTGCAAACACTTCATGCCATTATCAGTTCATTTTGTAAACCCCAACACCCTTGAACCTCAAATGCCTCTAAACCTGGAAAATAATACTGAAGAGTGTGGTAGAGATGCCATTAAAGTCAGTTATATTCACACGGGATTTTTAAGAAGCATCAAAACTAGCCCAACAACACAGAGTAAATCTGCCTAATAACATGGCATCCCTCTTAGACCCCTTTTTAGGGTGTTGATGTATCAACCCTGCATTGGTTGGTGTTTTTAAACAATATGTTTTTTTAAATTTTAAAACCTGTATTTTAAATTTTAAACCCTGTATTTTTAAACAACAACCTTACTGTTCTGATTTGAACTTAAATAAATTCCTAGAACTTAACACCTCGCTTCTTATTGCACACTGTCTCTCCCTCACCCACCTCCCCACATATTCAAGGATGTTCTCAGTTTTCATAATTAAATACAGAAAATATTGTTCCTGTACCAGCTTTCATTTGTTGTCCCATCAAAAAATATGTGGTCACTTGATAATGAGCAGAAAGAGAACTTGATAATGAGCAGAAAGAGAACTGCTGATGGGTGAGTCAGTGCCTGACCTGATGCATCAGCCACTGCTCCCCCTCCAATACCATTTAGACATCTGGTGGCTGGGAAGACGAACATATGAGAAATGTGACTATTGTAAGACCCCACAAGCTGTAACTATTACACTGATTGGAAAAGGAGCAACAAAAAAAGTGGTAGCAGAGCTTCCAGAGTACAGGCAATCTGTTAGCAGCACCCAACCTGAGAGCATGCTTCAGATTTTTGGAAACAGGGCATCTTCTCCTACCCCTTCAGAGATGAATGGTCAAGTGGGAAAGGGCCTTAGACCTTTTCCTTGAGAAATCAACACAGGTAATATTAATCCTAGGAGGGATAAAATGGGGCCTACTCAAGAGTGTAAAATGAAGGCATTCAGTGAAATGAGATCAGAGAGTAGTAAAAAAATTCCATTAATCAGAAAAAAATGTTGGCCACTTCCTGAGAAACATACTCCGCTTTTTGCATCTTTTCATAATGCACAGCCTAAAAATATTATTGCTGCTGCAACTGTTAACGGAGACAGAAGAATGGCAGTCTGTGCTAGAGGCAGCAAGGGAGACGCGAGCCAGGCTGGTAGGCTGGGGCCCCTCCAAAGGTATGTGTGGCTATGTGCTGTTCCTGGCAGCCCACCCAAGGAGAAAGGGTGTGCTGTATAACCAGAGGTGATGAACAGATGAGGAGGTCCATCAGGGAAACTTCCACCCTACTGCTCTCTATCTGCAACTCCCTCCTGACAGTGTACAGACCCAGATGGCCCCTGTGCCCCACCTTTTCCCTCAGGCTTTAATTTTTCTTGTTAAATTCTCATGTCAGGAGTAGGCAAAGGTAAATTATGTGAGTAAAAGGAGGAGGACAAACCACTTCAGCAGAGCAAGATAACTGAATGAGCTTAAAAACTTACATTCTTTCTCTCCCCAAACCCACCACCACACCACATGGTACATTTAGGGAAAAAAAACCTTGTCTTTCTTCTGTTGAGGGAAAAAGTCACTGCTAAGACTTATTGGGAAAAGTTCCATGCGTGCTCCTTACTGAATCCACACCATTCCTCTGCTGCTAGGGGAGGAAGTTTGTGGTGTAAGAAAAAGTTAGATGACTTTTTGTGAAGCTTCTCTTTCCTGGGCAGAGTTTATTCTGTAATGGTGTCTAAATAATCTGGCTCTGCCCTGCCTTCCTTCATTTATACTCAAAACAAAGGGCTATGTTTAAGACATTCTTACTACAAACTTAAAAAACTTTCAGTGGATTTCCCTGATAATCTGTTCCTCTGCCACAATTTTAAGAAATGAAACACATCTGAAAACTAAAGACTTCCTCCTTCAAAGTCCTGAGCACTCTTACAGGTGATTCTTGTAACTCAGTATCTGGGACATGTTCAGCAACTCTGCCCTAAAACTTCTTAAATAAGGAGCTAGTAAGATCAACAAATGAAAGAAAAAAAAAAAAAAAAAGAAAAAGCTAAAACAGTCCCCGTCTGCTTTATGGAATTAATTTTAAAAAATTCACTTTCAAAAAGGATCAATAAATGGACTTCCATTTTTTTAAACTTGGCAAGAGCTAACCCTAGGGATCTCCTAAGACAGCATCAGACTTGCACTGTTTAAGTTCTTTAAATTAACAACTCAGAGGTATCAATGAACTGCTTTAGCTGGCAGAACAGAACAGAAGCTGAGAAAGAGGAAAGCATTGATATGTAAAATGTGAGATTCTAACTAAAAGCTGGGCTTGTAGATGCAGGAAGCCATTTATTCTCCCTCAGCAGCTGGGTTACTTTACAGATACTGGGCCTCAAAAGTTATGGAAACTTTGACAATTATCTTGCAATGTCTCAAGAAAAGTGAATGAAGAGCAAAACAAGGTCAAGAGCAACCCTTTTTTTAAGCCCATCTGTTAAAAATTCACTATCTAGACGAGAAGAAGGCAGCATCTGTGAAAAGTAAATGCACTATTTCATTGCTTTCTAAGTCTTGCTAGGAAGCTATCAAAGACTGCAAGGACTTCTTGTTTAAACAATCCCGAGTAAAAGGGAGAGGGAGGAAGAAGACTGTAAATAAAGAAATCCATATATAAATACAGACCACCCAACAAAATCTGCCATAGTTACGTGATTCTGAATGTTATGATTAATGTATCACCTGATTTTGATTTTACCTGGTGAAGACAGGCAAAGCAAGTAATAGGTGTTCCTTTCTAACAACAAAGGGTATTATTTTAGTGGTTAATTATATACGCATCAGTCATATATATTGCTCTGTCATCAGTAAATCTTTATTATGGATCTCCAGCTCTCTCTTTTTTTTTTTTTTTGCACATTTTTCCATCTTATGGATAAGGGGTTACTATGCGCAGCAAAGACAAATTACAGATGCATGTGAGAAAAAGATTGAGCAACTCAAACATTAATTTCTGGACACCCAAACATTCCTACACATAGATTCCACATTAATCACTGCCTTAGAAAGGACTGTGATCGTGATGTTTTTATTCTGAATGATGTCAACATGTTTGTACATGAATATGTTGAAATCTCACTGGAAACTTTTTGTTTGTCATTTTGCTGTGCAGACTTCATTTTATGAACTTTCACTGACTCAGACTACAGTGTGACAGCAGTCAAAAAGAAAAGATTTCAGAAAGGTATATTTAACTTAGATTACAGTAACAAGTACCGATGTTGTCTTCCTGTACGTTCCAAAAGCAACCTGTCACATTCTGATGAATACGATGAACATGTCATGTGAAGAGCAAGAACAGAGAAAGGCTGAGCAAAATTTCATCAGATAAGGAAGAATTAATTTTGGTGGCTCACATTCAACAGGTTAGCAGTGCAATTAGGACAAAAAGGCCCATCACTATTGGATACTTGTTAAAAGATGCATTTAGGCTGAACAACTGATTCCTAGTGAAGATCTCCAGCAGCCTGTTGGCGCCTTAAATTACATGTTGAGTGTGTTTGGGCCACAGATTTAGAAGACATGAGTAACCTCTGCCAACACAAGAACTGTTACACTTCAAAATATATTTCACACATTGGCACTGTTCTTTGCCAAATAATAGAATAATTCACTGTCACATACCCTGTAAGAATGGACATCTAGGTTTTTGGCAAATCAGGAGAACTAAATATAGCTAATCAGTCAGGACTAGGAATCTAGTTTTAGCTGCCACAGACATCTGCTAAAAAGTGCATAAAACCAAGCAGGCTTTAACTTTCTTTTATTATCCACTATGAAACTGCCTACTGAGAGAAAGTGGTAAACAAACTAGTAATGCTTATTGGTAACATAACTGGAATCTCAGTTTACCATTTTACAGCTTAATGCAGGTGTACATAAATCTTTGAAAACAATTGCCACACGTATTAAGAAAAATTGCAGCCCTTGTTTTCTCTGGGTAGCCAAGGGCTCAAGGAGAATGAAAAATGATTGGAGAACCAGGCTATAGCAGAGGAAAAATAACTACTGAAAAAGTAAGTTTGCCTGCTCTGCACCAAGGTCAGACAGCGTTATAAATTGCTTGTGTCAGGCAAGGAACTCCCAAAGCTTTCTTCAAAGAGCCCTTGCTTGCAGAAGAAAGCTTTCTCCAGCATCCTTAATATTTCATATTCCTGAAGGCATATTGTCCAAATGAATACAAGAAGACAAAGAGAGAACAATAGAGCAAGCAATACATGGTTCAGCACATAAAATTCACATTTTCTCTCAAAGTAGTTGGAATGTAAAATTCTTCAAGTTTTCTCCAAGTTTTCTAAAATTATGTTGGAAGTAAGGAGTACAAACTGCTGCAGTAATAATTAATATGGCAAATGCATATTTGCTGCTGTCACTGCACTGCGGTTATAGTTTTTAAGAGCAGCAAATGAGACAAACATGAATGAAAGACTAAATTCCTACTGAGGAATGTTACAATACACAATAAAGCACAGTCTACTCCTCTTGACTTAAGAATGCAAATCTTTCTGAAGAATTGTTTCTTCTTAGTTACATACATCTTGGGCTTTCCACTCAACCCAATGATGAGGCAGTGTATTCCTTCACCTGCCAATAGGATGCAAGAGACTGCAGGCATGTGAAATGGGAGGAGCAGAATCAAGGGCAGACAGCAGCTGTTATCACCCAGATCTATGGCAAACAGTGATCATATACTGGTTCAGTGAACTGTAGTAGCACTGAACACAAACCTTAACATTACTACTAACAGGTATCATCATTGGCTTTCCATGATGGGACCATGCATAAGAGCCAACAAAGAGCATACAAACTTACTTGGAGTGAAAATGCTCGTAAAGCAGGAATAGGGATTAAGGCAGCCATAAAGAAAGCAGTAACATTGCTGATAGATGTAAGGGCTACACTTGCTCCTGTTCGCTTCAAACATTCACCTGTTCTGTCCTGCAAAACAAATGATGTCTCTTAAAAGTGAGTAAGGTCATGTCCTGCAAACGAAGGGGTCATCTGACAGATACAACACAGTAACAGTGAAAAATTATTACAATGAAATTCTGAACACAGTGTGCATTTGAGAGTAGTGAGAATAAACAGCATACGAAGTATTCCGTTCAGGAGAAAAGCAGATGGCACATGAAGTGTTCATGCTGTTTGTGGGTAGAAAAATATCATCAGAGCTGATTCAGAACACAAAACTAAATGGGTTTATATCAGACATAAACCCATTCTATCACAGGTATTATATCAAATCCATTATATCAAACTGACATTATATCAAATACATGTGCATTTAAGTAGGATGTATTTTCCACTAGTTCCACTTGTGTTCCCATTTTTCTAGCAAAATAAGCAGGTATTAACAGCATGAGGCGTAACATACCTATGTATCTTGAAGAAAAAAACAACAAACCACCAACCCAAAACCCAGACACCACACACAAAACCACAGGGAAATCAAGATAAACACGTGACCCTTTCCCAACCCAACAGGCTATTCTGAAGCATATGGAGGTTGTAGTAGAGTGAGTTGTAGTGCCTGCATGCCAAATCAGCTGGAAAGAGCGCAAGAAAGACACTGCTTGTACAGTACAGCATCAACAAATATACAGTGCTTTTAAATGGCTTGTAGTTTGGATATGAAACTTTGGGCTGAGTGTGAAAAGGTCAATAAAAGGAAGGAATCATAAAACTGATGACACCATAGAATTCCTAACATTAATGTGTTATACTTTGAAATATTATAGTCAATTACAAACACCAGAACAGAAGCGGGCCCCCCCCCCAAAATAGAAAATAACTCAAATTTAAGTCCAAAACAAATAAGTAAAGCCAGTAGTTGATACAAAAAGGAGAAATCTTTGTTTTCTAAGCTCCCCTTCTCCTCAGTCTTTACACATTCGGATTTTTGCATTCTTCCATTGAAAGCATTCTATCATTTAATTGTCAGACTTGTATTTGAGTTTGTTCCTAAATTTACACTTACTTTTGTTGAAATTTTGGACAGAATTTGGACTATGAAAATTAGTCTTTGTACGACAATTATACATTTTAAATTTCAAGTCAAAACAAATCTAAGACACTATTAAAAAAAATAAATATCTGAACATTCCAAAACATTCTATGATCACATGTATTGCCATTATTTCCTATTTTGACAGAAATAAGAATTTCCAGACCCTAGGAAAAGCTTTTGGGAAAAAATATACAGATTTTTCTAATCACTGCTAATTAATTCTGGATACAGTTATCTTTTCCTGCATAACACCTTTTGTTTTATCTTCCCCCAAATCCCCATTCGTTATTACCTCAAATGGAATTCTCTTATTCTGCCCTGTTTCACTAAATGCATGTGCCAGAAGGAAAACATCGTCTACACCAACTCCAAGAGCAAGAAAAGGCAAAACCTTGGGGGAGAAACAAAACAAAAAACAAACAAGAAAGCTGTTTTATGATCTGCCATGCAGCTACCCATTAAATGGCTAATTAAAGCAACTTAACATTACGCTATTCACAAATCCAAGGGTAACATGAAAATCAAAAGGATGTGATACAGCTTTTAACTTTTATTCTGGAATACTGCTGAGGAACTTGCTGCACACCATTTACAGGTACACAAAAAAATAATTCAATTTTGGGGTACACAAGAAATATCTTACAATAATTCAGGCTATAGTAAAAATATCTGCAAAATTTAAGCATCTTGATAATTCAGATGTAAAGCCAAAACCTACAACTTATTATGTGCAACTGGATGCCTCCACTTATGCTGGGAACAGAAAAATCAAATAACCCAGAATCTAGTAATTATACAAACTGCATGATATTTGCCTTTTAATATCATTTTACAGCATGACCACATAATTTCTTACAGCAAAAGCTATGAGATGGGAAAAAGGCACAAGTAAAAATCTCATGCCAAAATACTTTTGCAGGTTTTTCGCCCCTCAAAGATTCAGTTGTGCTCGTTTACTAGCAGAGTACTTGTAATTTAACAGCAGACTTGTGTCTCCTAAATACCTGAGTTGTGGCAGCATTAAAGGAAATTCCAATCAATGAGCACAGGCCCAATCCTGCAGCCACTGAGAGTGCAACCAACAAGACTCCTGCCAGCCCCACGGCACCCTGAGACTTGGCACAGTCCCACCGCAGCATTGTTAAACAGGCGTAGGCAAGCTAAAGCAAGGGGAGGGAGAAGAAGTTGAGGGGAAAAAAGCAAAATGTCAGAATGGATCCTTGTCTAACAGCTATCTCTTATCAACCAAAATACAAACATTTTTAAATAGAAAAGACACATCGCAAATGTCACACAGAGAAACAGGTGACAAGCCTGAGACAAGTTTACAAACTGTAGTTGATATATATATATCTAAAATGTTCTGGACTGCTGACTGGTAACAACAAAATATTTAATTCCTGCTCTACTACCACAGAAAATTAAATACATTTATTTTATTACCATTAGTAAGTAGCCACTAGCTACTCTGATAACACTGACATCAGAAAATGACTTTAGGATGTCATCCAGGGTGGTCGTAGTAAAGGAGAGCACCTTCTGAGTAGAGTTTTGTGCAACACTTTGATGAACAACCTATGCAAAGAAAAATAAAATTAGTTGTGACTAAAGAAAAATTTTATTACCATCTTCTACAGCACACATCTGAAATCAACTACTTTAGCCTTAATGTCCCTGCGAAAGCCAGGATCCTACACAGAGATTATGCTGATGCTACATAATGTGTTTGCAAGCTATTGATTATCAGACACGAATTTGCATCTTTCAGGAAAGGCTATTGCTTTCCCAGCCCATTCCAAACGTTTAGCACTCCTCCCGTAACTCCACCATGCATTTACTGCAGTATGAATTTTGCCTTTAGCCCAAGCCCAGCAATCTCTCAAGTACTCCTCTTCCCCCTCCCCGCCTGGGCCATTCACAGAGGTCAGAAGCAGTGCAGCAGAGGTCAGAGCTTGGGACACAGAGACCATGTAGACAGCCTTCCACCAGGGCTGCTGCTGGGACAGCAGCCTGTGACTAGCTAATGTTTTCCAGACACCCTTAGAATAACCATGCCAAACAAAAGTTTAAAATGCCAGCTAACTCTCTGGTTCTTTTTCAGCCCCAGCAAAGCCAGTGTCCCAGGCAGCAAAGAGCAAAACCTTCATGGCTTCTCGTATGTGAATAATAAGCAGCTCCTTCATTGGAGGGGAGGAGGCAACTTAAAAACTGCGAGTCAATAACTCAGTTCTGATTTAAGCATCTTCCTTGAAGAAAAGCTGTGACAGAAGCCAGTGGATCTTTGCAGGACTTCATAGTATGATATCTAGGTTATTTTTAATTTTACCTCAACATACATCCTCTGCCAGGCTTCCAGAATTGCTGCTGCCTTATCCTCATTCCAGTTGATATGTGAAACATATTCATACCCCTTGAAGTGCTCATACATTTGCTTAGGAGTCATTAACTGAAACATGGTTTGCAAAGCCTGGGCACTGTGACATGGAGAGAAGAGCATAGAGGAGGAAGAGGCATAAAATAAGCATTTTCAGGAAATTATTTTTATGACATCAAGTCCCAAATGAGACTCTAACAGGAGCTTGCATGAGTTCTTGTTTTATAAGGCACATGCTTGTATTAAAATTTAACAGAGTATAATTATTATGTATCTGATGCATCTGTACTGGTCTATGCAAGTATTGAGGCTAAATCTGGTTTCACTGAAGTTAATGAGAGTTTTGCCATTATTTTCAATAGGAGCAGTTTCAGGAGCAAAGAATGTAAACCTACAAATCAGTTATAAAGATCATGAATGATAGATTACTGTGAGGATGCCACAGAACACTTATTTCTACAAGATCTCGTAAATGCTGTTGGCAATTTGTCATTTGAATACCTTGATCTTTTTCGTCCCTTGGAGACAAATGCCAGATTAAATTCCTGATGCCTGACAATCTGCAAGGACTACACAATGGCAACCACTATCCATCTTGAATTTCCACAGTGTGCAAATGTACCCAATAGTTTTAGAAGATTAAGGAATTATTTTATTTTTCATTAAAAATACACACTTTGGCTACTTGTTGAAAGACTTACCAATGTTTAGTGTGCATGTAAAAAAGGTCAACATTCATATTAAAAGTTCTAGTAAAAGTTATCTGTATTATGTATGGAAGAATTATAGAATCACAGAATGGTTTGGGTTGGAAAGGACCTTAAGATCATCCAGTTCCAGCCCCTCTGTCATGGGCAGGGACACCTCACACTAGATCAGGTTGCTCAAAACCTCCTCCAACCTGGCCTTGAACACTGCCAGGGATGGAGCATTCACAAATTCCTTCGCAACCTTTTCCAGTGCCTCACCACCCTCACAGTAAAGAACTTCTTCCTTATATCTAACCTAAATCTCTCCTGTTTAAGTATGAACCCATTACCTCTTGTCCTATCACTACAGTCCCTGATGAAGAGTCCCTCTCTGGCATCCTTGTAGCCTCCTTTCAGATACTGGAAGGCTGCTATGAGGTCTCCATGCAGCCTTCTCTTCTCCAGGCCCCAACTTTCTCAGCCTGTCTTCATATGGGAGGTGCTCCAGCCCCCTGATCATCCTTGCAGCCCTCCTCTGGACTTGCTCCAACAGCTGCATGTCCTTCTTATGCTGGGGACATCAGAACTGCACCCAGTGCTCTAAGTGGGGTCTCAAGAGAGAGAGCAGAGGGGCAGAATCACCTCTTTCAACCTACTGGTCACACTTCATTTAGCTTAGCATGGTGTACAGTTTCCAGGACAGTTCTATTTCACAGGCTTTTTTCCCCACTGAAGTCCAATATTCCACGACTTCTTCAAGAAGTCTGAAACAAACGGGTTTGTTTTCCCACTCAAAACTTATTCAAGATGTAGGGACATAGAAATAGACCTTTCTCTATATTGATCCTGAACAAGAAGTTCAGTGGAGATTCTGGAATTCTGACAAGTCAAATCAATGCACATTACCCAAATTTTTCCTCCTCCTTCTACTTTGATGGTATTTCAAAACATGCTGAGAAGTGTTCAGTGCTTTAAACACTGTTCAACACACATTCTATAAATAAAATTGCCAAGATATTGCAACATACACTAGCATTCTGAGATTAGAAGAGGGAAGCAATGACTATTCCTTAAATTTAAACTACCTAATCACTCTTTTAAGTTCTTTCTCTTGAGAGATGTCCTCCTAAACTGAGATTCATGAAGGGCAGTAGATTTTGCATGATCCTCCCCTATACTGCAGAACCCAAACTCTAACAAAGATAAACTTTGACATTTTCTTTAAACATTTACCTGACAAGTTTACCAGAACTGTTCTTGACTGTACCACCTATAATTAACTCCTCTTGCCAATGCATGTATTTTCTCGACAGTCCATAGCATCCACCACTCAAAACAGGGGCTACATCAAGAGGCTAGAAAAAGTTGTTAAGAAACAATCAGTTTCATATCTTCAGACAAACTCATACCCTAATTCAACACCCAGTATACCAGAATAACATGCATTAAAGACAATCTAGGAGATCTAGAAAGAGAAATGTTTTCAACAAATCAAACTGAACAGATCAGATGGATACGTGTAGACTAGACTGTAATTTCTCCACCGTGTGAAGTGACTGATAAAGGGATACATAGAACTGGGGTCTGTGACTTCAAATTCTCCAAAAAAGTCAACAAAACTGACGCTACTTTGAAAGAAGGTTTTGCTGCACTGCACGAGCATATAGTGTCAGCTGCCTTCCAGAAGTGGCTATGTCAAAGGCATCAGGTTTCCTCAAGTGCCACATCACTGCATTGCCATTCCCAGACCGTAGCTGACAAGTGCACTCTCAATTTAAATACATGGGCTCAAGCACTGCATCACAGAATGAAGGCAACTTCATGACTGTGGGCTAAGCGCGTGTACAGAAAGAATTTATCACTCAAAAATACAAACTATATATAGCTTGAAAGAAAATGGCACCTTCTTTTCTCCTCTCTCTCACCCCCACCAACCTCAGCCACACTTGAAAAGATATACACAAGGACAATGAGACTTACTTTAGTGGAATTTTTATTGGGAGCTGTAATTGGGCAATCGGGATCAGCAGGATTCAAGCAGGGTCGATCCATATAACCATGACCAACCTCTGCTTTATTCAGCATTTCTTCCCAGCTCTCCACTTGGTAGTTTATTTTCTTTAACTCTTCCAAGAATTCTAAGGGGTCAAAGTTGATCCACTGTAAAGGAGGCTTCCCTCTGCCAGAAAAACCAGGAGAAAATGACACATACAGAAAAGACAAAAGAAGTACCAAAACAAACATACTTTTAAAAATCATATTTGCAAAATAAACGAGTTATTTTCCATTATAAGGTAAAACTTTTTCTCATAAGGTTGTTTTGCAAAAATGTAAGGCATGTTTTAATTAGATTTGTTTATGTACTTTTCTTGCAGCCCAGTTGCAAATCTAACAAAAATATTCAGGTCTTAAAAAGAACTGTGGAATAACCACAGGTCAAAAATACTTCCATTTACAAGCAAAGCAAAACAAATCATCAAGCACCTAAATAACAAAAAAGCAGCCAACTGCTGCTTCAAAGAATTAGGGGGGGAGGGGAAAGGGAAAAAAGAGAGGGGGCTGAGGAAAGAAAGCCTTTCTCATAGTATCAGATTACTTCTTGCTAGTCTACTAATCATCTTGCAAATGTAATCAATCAATATAAGTGAACTTTTTTTATCTATAACAATGCTGCGCTCCTTCAAATGACCTGGCAGCTTGACTATCAACCATCAAGCTCTCCTGCTACCATGGTTGTCACCACTATCGCTGTCAAATCTCCCACCCCCCACTCCTGAATCTGTGATGTTGACAGACTAGAAAGGCTTTTGGCTGCCTAATTCTGTGATTCAAACCACACTGTATCTGCTTAACCAGGCTTAAGTCATTATTCTGAATCTCCCAACCAGAAAACACAAAACCCCTTATTTCCCCATCTAAAACTGTACACTAAAGGTTAGAAGATGGCCATTGCAAATTGCTTTTACAGAGACATGCAAACCAGGACAGAAACAATAACTTAAATGCTAACTCTTGCATAATTAACAGAAAATGCCTGCACAGATTAACAGTTAACTCTTTAAAGGATTCAGGGCATATTATATCACACTTGTAAACTGTGAGAAACCACCCATAAAAGATACTATATGGTTTCTTTAATGATCTTATAAGCAAAGGATTTGCTCTTTAGTCCTCAGGAAGACTTGAGATTTAACCCAAGACATTTTCTTAGGAATTCCCAGCCAACCAATTTTTTGGAGGGAGAAGGAAGTGAGAGGGGAGAGAGGTGGTACATACACAAAATCAAACCAAACCAAAGCAAACACCAGAAACAAGTTTATTTCAGGGAGAAAGAAAAAAAAAAAAAAAAAGACACAATTCTTAAAGCTTGAATTCAGAAAAACTTTTTTGCACGCTTGCAGAAAGGGAAAAATAAGGTAGGATTTAAATCAATGGTACAAATCTTCTCTTAGAAACAGGGAAAACTTTTGTCAGTGGGGGAAAAAATAACCAAAAATCCATGTGTATTTTCTGTAGAGACACTACACTTTGTCTTTTATTTTTCTGCTAAACCAGAATCTGGGTAAACAATGGGAATGCAACTGAAAAATCATATACAATTACACAATAAGAATCAGTCAGACCAGACTTCATTATAACAGAAAGTTATAAAAAAACATGCTTACAAAAGATAGGCAGTTCCTGACTGTAGCTTTGCTCCCTCCCAGAAGCAGTCCAAAGGAGTGATAATTAAGCAAGGATAAAGATATTCTATGATCTGTCAAAATCAAAAAGGGGAAAACCAGTTATACTAAAATATAATCAAAACAGCACAAGCTGAATCATGAAAATAGACAAATCTTGTAACCAGGTGCTGACTGCACGTACCTGATCCATGTAACCTGCTTCTGTGATGAGTTCTCCTGATTTGTAACACAAATGTTCCAATTTCCACTGTCTGTAAGAAACATAAAGAACAAATTTTTTTTCTGTCCAGGTTCAGCTGTTAACAGTTATTTTTCTCCTTCTTAGTAGCTATTGCAGGACATTTTCTTACACAATTACTGAAAATTTATCTTTAAAATGTAACGGACATTTAAAATTGTAACTCATATACACATACTGACCTCAAGCAGTAAATCATTGAGAAAGGCAAGCAGTATTCAGCATAAATGAAAACGCCTCACAAAAAAAAAAAAGGAAATGCCTTTCTTTTTGTAGTTATAGACAAGATACTTGTTTCAGTTATTCTCACACTCACTGTAAAACTCATTAAAAATAATGGAGCTGCTTCTGGATGCTCAGGCTAGTCAATACATGTTAAAGGGACAAAAATCCATCTTTATATAAATGAGACTGCTTGTGACTTAAGATGCTGCTCAGTGGCAGAAGTGAGAGAGAAGCCAGCTCCAGCTCAGAAGACTAGACTATTCCCAGCTGACCCACACATGCAGAAGAAATGAAACCATTAAGATTTCTGCCCTCCTGTTTCAGCTGTGGGTCAATGCCTATTGCCATGACTTCTAACACCTTAGAGAAGGCAGGATCTGGGTTAAAGATAATTGGAGCTTCAGCATTACGTCATTAAGGCATCAGCTGGATGTGCTGCAAGATGGGCTGAAAGACAGGGGGCTTCATACCTCACAGGCAGCACCCCTAGGCAGATAATCATGTAAGTAGAAACCCCAGAGGAACCACTTTTCAGGGAGACATCTTACTAGCCTAAAGCTGGTACCTTACTAAGGTGCACCTTTATTATTTTTTTGTTGGACCACACAGAGCTTCCAACCTTCAGTTGCACGCACAGACACTCTGAAGGCCTGCTGTACTGTCTGTTATTAAACAGCTATTATTTCACCCACTGCCATTTCCCTTTATATACGAACTATTGGATGGATGGTAACCTGTGCTGCTGATCACAATCATTATGCAACTGAATTCAGCTCTATGGAGGGGTTTTCAATGTTAGGAATCCCAACCATAAGGTCCTATGTTTAAGAGTACAGACACTACTCCTTTACCAAGACCAATGCTGGATACTGCAGCGCTGACCATAGGGGTACATTCTCACAGTCTCTTCCAACACCACTTACCCCTTCTTATTTGTTAAAAGCCAACTTGTCACCACTAGGATGGCACAAAGTCAAGTATCAGAAACCAGTGATACTCCAAACACAGCCTAAAGTGAAAGGCTCTGAAGTGCTGTTTAAAAATAGATGGAGGGAACCATGTGCCCACTTTTTAGCTGTTAGAGAGGGTAAGAAAACTTTTGCTTTTTCACTTACCTGTTGTACATATAGACATGTACTCTGCTGGCCTGAAGTGCAGAATCAAGGTGCTGTCGGAGTGCTTCTGTTGTTAGTACATTAGCACCATCTTCCTGTGGAGTCTGGATCATGAGCTGAGGGTTAAACATGGCCTCTTCTCCAATCTTCTGCCGTGTGTAATTTAACTCCCGACTCACCCGTCCACCAACTGATGGATAAATATCAACAGCTTTGTTATTAGCCAGTGACTGTTTATTCTAGATTCAGTTGATGAGCACTCTCCTGTCAGAAAAACTTGACCATCATGTTCATGCGTTATTTGGTCTCAAACTGATCAAAGTACAACTCTAAAACTATTATTTGAGTAACACTGCAAAAAAACCTATGTTCCTCATTAACATACCATTGCCCACTGCACTAAAACACTGACATGTAAACTGGAGCCTCAAACACTTTTGTCTACATTATAACCAATATCTCATATGTAAAAATTTTAAAAAGCAAGCAAAAAAGAAAAACCTTTTTCTTGCAGACCACACCAAATACTACGTACAATTTCTTACACTTGTATAAACAGTACGCTCCAAAAAAACATTTCAAGATAAATGGTTTTAATTTACACTCTTCTCCTAAATAGTTTGGCAAAGGCAGAAAGAGAATGTTTATCTTCAGTTAAGAAAGGGAGGATCAAAACAGTAAGTGTGCAGGAATACTTCTTCCAGCCTTAAATAAAATTTAAAAAAAGGGGGGAAAAATTACCAATTTTACATTAAGAGATGCAGTTGGGAGTGCAGCAGACACTAGTTTACTCCAGTGGTCCAGAACCTGCACAACATGCTGTGATACAGGGGATCATTCATGAGCAACATCTGTTTTTCAACCCGTGTGAGCTGAATGGTGTGCCCCATATTAAGACATGGTGGGGGTTTGGGGGAAGTAAAAAAATGAAAAAGGCAGAGAGAGGCTGTAGAGTTGACAGGCTCTAGAGGGAGCCATATTCAATTTGCCTTGACAGAAAATATCAGGTAAGAATAGAAAATTATCTTCCCTCTTACAAAAAAAGCATTCAGCTAGAGTTCATATACTTTATACAATCTCCCCTGTAGTGTCTCCAACAAATGCATGTGGGAGGCAGGGTCGATTAAATAGCTGAATCAAGACCACATCCAGATGAGGACAAGAATACCAATAACATGTTGTTTCCATCCCTTACAATTTACTACCTTTATTGCTCTGCAAAGTCCAAGCTACAGACCTAGTCTAATTTCTTACATTTTTTTCAGTCCTAGTCAGCTTGGCACTGGTGATCTGAATTACTGACAAGGTTTAGCTCTGCAACAGTGTGAACAGAAATTAGGGATGTACATCTATCTCCTCCTGGGTTGTATAGCAGAAAACTGAGCAGTAACCAGTTGGCGGTGTGGGAGATGACATTCCCAAGCCTGAACAGGGACATACTTTTCCAATCACTTGGGCCTTCAACCCACCCATAGCCCCCTGGGGGTAAAAGGACCACCAGGCAAGAAGTTGGGCCCCTGCATGGATAAAGCTGTCAGAATGAGACCCCCAACAGTTAAACCATACAGTCCTTCTGGCATGAAGCATTGCTTAATTTCTTGTTCAAGAATTCTTTGAAGAAATAAGTGTTTCCACAACACACTCAATTTTTTCAGCCTGTCACACGTGCATTACCTCCATCCTCCAAATAAACAGTGACCAGTTCACAGTAAGGAAGGAAAAAAGAAAAATCAAAGCACAACTTCCTTACCTACAGTCCCTTTACAACTTCTTAACATCCCTCTTAGTACAGTGGGAGAATAGACAATCACTGAAACTGCATATGTATGGTAACAAAAAGTTATTGTTAACTTTCATCAAGAATTAAACCCTGAAAGTACTTTCACTCATCAGGTTTGTGTTCATGCCATCTTTCTCCACCAACCAGTGGTCTATGAAATACTAACAAATTTTGCTCCATCTTACAGGAATATAGGCTGGGGGTAAGGGAGAACAGTTATCCTAACCTGTATTTCTTTGAACCAGAGCTTTCTTTTTCAGTCCTTTACACCGCAAATGCTTCCAAAGGCAAAATGTCTCTCTTCCTCTTTTGTGTCTCAATGCCAGTCAAGACAATAACAGCCCAATTTTATGAGGGCTGTGGAGTCTACCATAAACTTCTGATACTATATTCCTTCCCATTCTACCCACGGTTTCCTTTTGAATTTAACCAGGACTTGAACCAACAAATCATACTTCATGCAAGACAAAGGGTGGCATTCCCATCTCTGCTGAAAGTGACTAACTGTTTACTATCAACAGAAATGATTGCTTCCTAATCAAGGTGCTGTCAAACCACATTAACTTCACTGAACAAGGCAGATTTAGCTAATCAGAACTGCATCACACAAGTCAGTCATCAGAACAGAAGCTGTTTTTTTCCCCTTTTAACATTCAAAACAGGAACCACCCAAGAAGGCAGGCACACGTTCCAGAACCCAGCAGCAGATCCACTCCACATTCTTCTTAAAGCATTGCACCATTTAATTATTTCCTTGATGGATCTGTTTTTTATATTTCTTCAGCCAAATAGAGTACAGGCAATTGTAGGTACTTTATACAATGTAACACCCAGGTACTAAGAAATTATAAATGTAGATTGCAGAGAAAAATTCTGACCACCAGAGTCAGATTATGTGAAAACATATGGACAGAGTGGAAGCAAGTGGATACACCAGTGGGCTTTCAAGGTAAGAGAAACAACAAAGAGCAAAAGGGAATTTAAAAAGTTTCTACCAGTTATGTTTTCATTTAATTAAAAGGTTGCAAAGATCACTAGAAACTGCCATACCCAGAGACCTTAAGCCTTCACAATCAGTACAATCAGCTGAATGTGCTCTTTTTAAATATCAAGTCCCTTGTTGCCTTTTGGGGGGCTTTTTTTTTTCAGGCTATTCATAGCTGGTGCAAAAAAACTAGAAGAGAAACCACTGAAATGCACCTGAAGCCTCTCACCTTACTGTGCTGAAGATATACAGTACTATGCGAAACACACACACTTCACAGAAAGTAATTTTTTGCAATTGCATGAAAAAAAACCCAACAAGATAACACACATAGTCATGGGATTTCCACACTACAGGACAAAATGATGTAATGGAAAACATAACCAGGGAACAAAATTCTGGTGTTCTGTGATTTTCCTTTACAGAGTGCTTTCACATATTTTGTGACAACAGCATTTTACACGTAAAATGCTACTGATTTAAATTGTATGCATGGAATACAGTACCATTATTTCCCATTTTATTCCATGTCAAAGACAGACAGAACTATTTCACTTTAATATCCAGGTGACAAAATCCACGTCAGTCTCCTTTTTTCAATATATCAAAAGCCACTTGGTGACGTTCAAGTCCTGTATTACATGATTCCTTAGGATTTAGTGCCTAGAGTTGGTAGCACATATTCCCACAAGCCGAAATGCTGATTTAAATAACAGATCAGTATGTTGTTTCATGGCCAGTGGTAACACAATTCAGCAGACTTGATGATCTTAATGATCTTTTCCAATCTAGTTGATTCTATGATTCTATCCTTCCAGCAGTGTCATCAGATTCTGGGTGTCTGCTTACTACACCTGAAATCTAGTCTGCCTACTAGCCTAGAAATGAGATACTATGCCAGCTCTACAATTTTGTTAACAAATTTTTAAAAAGGGGGAAAAAAATCACAACAAAGTAGTAAAATCAGTGTCCTGGCACCATTTCTTACTTAATATCAGTTCCTAATTCTCAGAAATATGTTTGAAGACCAGTGTGTTCAATGTGAGAGTTTTATTGACAGCATCTTTTTTGTTGACTATTACTCCTTAAAAAAATGTGTGGTTTTTTCCAGAGAAGAGGAAAGTGTCTTCCCCTTCCCCCCACCCCAGGCTTCCTTCTTAGCATTTTGCTGTAACACATGAGATCTGCCTTAAGCAAGTTAGCACCCCATACCATGAAACACACTGCTGCTCCTCCTAAACTTCCACACTGACTCAAATAGAAGCTGGTCAAGGTACTAAATTCTTTGCCCTTTCTGACTGGCCGGAAGAGAGTTGTAATTGTCAGTGTGGATGCTGGATTGTTAAGAACTAAGTAAGGACCACCATGTCTCCCTCCCCCAAGAGCAATGAACAGCTGTCAGGTGGTAACAAGTTTTAGTCATCCTTAACTTGAGGCAGACCTGAACCCGTGACCTAGAGGTGAAAGGCTCTAGATCCCACTATGAAGCACTGAGGTCACAGTACCAGTGTTTCAGTCATCACACATTAAAATGCTTCAGCACATCTCAGGTGAAAAACCCGGAAAAACAAAACTGCTTGCCTCTACTGTATATCTGAACAACACGTATGCACCCTCCAATGACATAAGAGCGAAATCATACTTGTTTTCACTGGCACAATCTCTGGCAAAATTCCTTCCACTCACTTATTAACAATTTCAGGGTTACTGGGTCATTCAGTATGTACTCATTTCCACTGTGAATGCCAGTGTCTTACCTATGTCTTTGTCACAACCAGCATTCAAAATTTACATGTCATTACATCAACATGCTTTTAAAGAACTCTGGAAACCACCACTAGGAACTGCAGTCCCTTCTACACTGAGTGGTTTCAGTAGTAAGTCTGACTTCTGCTACACTAAGAGATCAGTCCTAAGTCAAGCAATGAGTGATAGCTGAAAATTACTTCTAGTTAATTTACTGTCCGATACCTGAAAAGGCAGGAAACATTTCTTTCTCAGAATATCTGAAATGTTCCATTTCAGGTTACTGGAATTGCATCACATACCCTGAGGTTCTGTTATTCTTTTCAGACATGAACACTACCTCTATTAACCATTCAATAGTCACCTTGTGAGCAACTGTCACCTTGTCAGCAAGCTCCCTCTAAAAAACATTCTTGACAGCCAAACACCTTGTGTGCAACTGAGCCACAAATTGCTCAGCAAGCTCCTGCTAAAAAAGAACATTCTTGACAGCCAAATACTTGGGATAAAAATCTTTGCCTACCAATGCGCAGGACTGACAAGCAAGATTTCCAGAAACACCCACTGGGTTTGGAGCCTAGGTTCTTCCCCTACAACCCCCTGAAGTACCTGAACGTAGCAAAACCTTCTGGAGAACCTTCTTTCTGAAGACTATGGGCCTTAAGGTGTTTCTACATGA